CGGGGCGGCGCGGGCCGGTGCCGCGGGGCCGCGCTCGGCCGCAGGCGCTCGCCCCGCGGGAGGCGCCGGGGGGGGAGGCGGGGACGAAGCTCGAGGCTGCCGCCGCCAACTCCGCGCCGGCGGGTGGGGGACGCGGAGAGAAGGGGGACGCGGCCGCGACTGGGTTTGGCCCGGCTCGGCTGCCGTGGTCTAAAGGCCGCGCGGGCGCCGCTCCCCCATTGGGCACGAAAGCAAAAGCCTCGCCGCCATTGGGCGCCCGGCCCGTCCGCGCCCGCCCCCCGCTTTGACAAGCCCGGAATGGAGCGGCGGCGGCGCCTCCGGGGGGAAGGCGGAAAGGGGCGGGGCCCGGGGTGAGAGCCCCCCGCGGATTGGCCGGCCGCGTTGCCGTGGTTGCCGCTTGTGCCCGCGCTGATTGGCGGGGCCGTGTCTCCGTGGTGGAAGGGAAGATTACGAGCGCGGGTCAGATGAGGGGAAGGCCGCGCCGGGGATGGGGGGAGGGGGTGGCGGTGCCGCGGGCAGCCACTCCCCCAGGCCCCGTCCAGGCCACGCGCGGGACTCGCGGCGGTTGCTGCCGTTGGGGGCGCGCGACCCTCCGTGTGCCGGCCCGGGCCGTGCGCGCTCCCGTTCCTCGGGGTGCCCCGTGCCGGGAGCGGCGCGCCGGCCGTCGGTGGCTCCCGCTCTCCGCGACGGTCACTTCGGTGCGCCGCCGCTTTGTTCTGCGCTTAGCGAGGATGTGCCGGGCTCCGCGCTGCTTCCGCCGAGGGTGCCCCGGAGTGTCTGTCAGTATTCTTCTGCGGACGGCCCTTATGGCTTCTCCATCGGGGACGTCAGATTCCAGCGGCAGCGGTCGCAGGCTGACGGAGCAGTTATCCGGAGGACCTCCTTAGGCCGAAGCTCCCTGTTCTGAGGCAGCGCGATTTCCCACCCGCTCCCGTCCGTACGTGCACGGCACGGCTTTGCCACTGTGGCACGAAGCACGGACTGCGGGAGTACTGTGTAGAAGTCTCTAATTCTCGGCTTAGTGCTTCCCCACCCCTTTAATGGACTGCTGCTATGGAGACGCCAGGCTTAGCTCAAAATGGCTAATAAGGCGAATTGGAAAGAGAAGCGTGGCCGGTACGAACGGGGGAAGGGAAGAGGTCCTTTTTGCCACTGCTATATGAGATGCGGCCAGGAGAGAGGGGAGGGCGGCAGCCATCCGTGTGCAGAGGTACGCTGATGCGCTGTGAGGTGGAAAATGTCTGGGTCGGCTCAGGAGATGCATTCTCCTCCTCCCCGTGCCATTTTGTTCTTTGAAAAATCTCGCAGCCGAAGCTATAAATGCAGGCAGAACGCACGACTTGTTGGTTTTTTGAACGGCAGGACAAAAGAAACACGAGGATACAGGCACCGCTCGAGGTGCATCCGGTGGATCAAAAAGGCCAGCGCTGCGGCTGAGTGCTTCACGTCGTTTCCATCAGCGAGGATCCTCCTCTGCTCCCCCAACACCAGCCTCGCCATGAGGGGCTGTAACACCTGGGGCCTGCACTGAAAACTGTGTTTGTAAGGGGTTGTCATGAGGAGATGGGCACTGACCGTCCCAGCAAACACCGTATGTTTTCAAGGAGCCATTACTGCTCGATCCCTTCAGTATGCAGTTGTTATTTTAAAAACAAAGGTTGACGTGGACTGTAACTGCTGGCTGGACTAGGAATATTATCCCACCAAACTACTGTAACACAAAAATATCTTGGCAGTTAAAATTTTTTTTTTAACTGGGAATTATATGGCAAATATTTTACACAAACTTAAATGCTGTGAATATTTCCTGAACTGACTATCAATAACATAAACCAAATGCATCAGAAGACAAAATAAGGGGGCAAAAATCAGAGTTGTGATTATATGCTACAAAAAAGGTTATGCTGGTGTATAGCTAAAGCATTCAATGCACTGTTGTCCCACAATCCAGCAGATGAATTATAGGTTAATTGTACTTTTTTTTTTTTTTAATTATCTAGTGTTTGTCTCTATGATTTAGAGGAAAAGCTTTCATCTCCCTAAGCACAAAGCAAGTAAAATGTAAGAACTTCCAAGTGACAGTCTAGACTATTTAATGGATAAAAACATTGCTATAAGATTACCATTTATAAGAGGTATCAATGCCATGTAACTCAGTGCCTTGATTAGTTCTAGACATGCAAGCACACCCACACAGAGTCCTAAGTGACACCGTTCATATGACCACAGCGACTTATTTGCTTTTCCAATACAATAGGTCATAGATCATTATCACACCTCTAGCTCTTTCTCTGCCCTATTCTTAAAGTCATATTAGAATTCTAGAATTTTCGTAAGAAGATTAACTTCTCACACCACTCTGAGTTTGTTTTATAAGCAAGCTTATATGTTTTGTAAGGTTTTTTTTTTGTTTGTTTTATTGCCTTTCTTTATGTATCACTTTTGATTTCTTTCCTTTTTCCTCTTCAGCTTGCCTTTATAAATTTCTTCAGTATTTTTCAGCTTTGCTGTTGAATTCCCCTTGGGATGAATCCCTTTTTTCCTTGTGCTTCCTTTTTTAAACCTCCTTTGCTTTTTGCATTGACAGTTATTTCTTTGAATAGACGTTAGGTATAGATTAAGTCCCATGTGGCACGAATACGTTATCAGCGTAGATGCAAAGAATGACTAGCTCAGTGCTAACAGGTCATAGAAGACAAAGGCTTTTTCAGATACCTAGATTGTGGCATATGCCACCACTTGCAAAAGCCTATTTGCTGGGGAATCTCTGTCCTTTGTTACCAAGTAACACTACAAATCCAAAACCCAGTAAAAGTGGAGGACATCCTCCTCAATTTCTACCTTTTCCTCACAAAGCCTGTCATCTGCAGTACTATGGGAGAAATTTCCATTGGCAAGGGTGACACGGCTTGGTTTCTTTCATCATTCCTCATCCCAGGTAACATAAAGCAGTAGTCAGTGATTTGTGGGTTCTTCTTCATGAACTTTTAATCACTGCCTCCTGATCATGAATAGTTTCTTTGTTTCTTTTAAGGGCTGGTAGGGAGGCAGAAATAAAAGCAGGCAGCTCTTCAGATAAACAGGAGAAGGTGGTGCTGGGGTTCCTGGTGCTCAGCACACAGAGGAATGGAAATGCTCTAGCCACAGGCTGAGGAACTGGACTCAATAAGTGCTGTTGGAGCATAGGTCGAGAGCTTCTCCTGCTTTGTTTGCAATTATTCTGAACATCACTTGTACAGGGAGAGGTAATAGGAACACTTACCTGCGAAGCTCAATTTCAGTCATGCCTTCTCTGATGTGCAGGACAGGGCTGAGTCAATGCATAGACAGATTCCTCAAGTCAGCATTCTCTTAAGCACAGACTCTCACTGTATATGTATTTCTGCTGGCAGTTTTGTCCCTACCTGGAAGCATGAAGGCAGACTGTGGCAAAAATGACTTGCAGTTTGGTGTGAACTCAGCAGCAGGGTTTTCCTGAAGTACATGCTATGCTTTGCTTGGGTGACTCAGGTCTTCAGCTGGCCCAGTTTTATAGCTCTTGTTTCCCTGTCTTTTTCTCTTGTTCTCTTACACTTATTTTGAGTTCTTCCCTATCTTGCTTTCCACATTGCCCATGTCCAGTCTACACCCTTCTCAGGAACTTGTTCCCTGCCACTGATATTCTGATTCTTTTCTCTTTACAAACTGTCATTGCCAGCTGTCATTCACCACATGAGGAACCTGTCGTTGCTAGCAGTCCTTCCTTCTAGTGTTAAAAGCAATAAAAGCAGCCCCACCTAAGCTTCATATTTCTTAAGAGAAATGTTACCACTTCCTCTATAAAGTAATAGCATCTCAGATCACTTAAGAGGATAATGTATTTTTTTTTTCTGGTTACTGAATGGTAACTTTTGTATATTAGATCTGAAATGGTCATCTTGGAAATTGTGCTGTACTACTAATCAAAAATTGCTTTATTTTCTGCTGAATTTTATTACCCTTTTGAGGGTATGCTAATTCAGTTACCCAGGGGACTGCAAAGGAAATGAAAAAACAGTTGTTCAAGAGATATGGCTTTCATCTATTTAGCTATGTTACTAAAGTTAGTGTTTTCCTTCACTTCTTTAAGCTTTTATCTTAATCATTTGCAATGCCTTACATCTATTCTCCATTTTATTAATTAGTTCCCATTTTTATAAAAATAATATCATTGGTATATAGTTTGTATTTCAAAATTAAATACATTTTACCTTGAAGCCTTCAGAACTGTTTTTTGTTTTTTTTTTAAATCATATTCCTTTCTTTCTGAATTAAAATGGGATGCATGTGTCATACCTCTTCATATATATATATATATATATATGTATGTTTCTTTGTTGCCAGGAAGAGTTTAAACAGGTAAATGCTTTAAAAAATGTATCATTACTTTCTTCACTTTGAAAACTAGAATAATCAGTTATAATAATATAATAACTCATAATAATAATAACTCACTACCTTCTTCCTGTTACAGGATGTTTCCCATGTGTCCTACTTGCTGAAGACCAGTTCACAAGTAAAGGAATATGGCTGCACTTTCTTACTGACGTGTCACACCCTTCTGTGAGTTGATAAAACACCTTAAGAGCTCCTACATTCACTGCTGCTGGTAATATTTCACCTTATTTTCTTGGATGAAGCTTCTCCATGAGCAGCTACAGTAAATATATTATTATCTTGTGAGCATGGCTTTTTCATTCTCTTTATCTGGTCTCATTGGGAAAACAACAGCAGGTTATACCACGTACCAAACATGGTGGTGCCAATTGAGTAGCTGGCATGCTGCTGGAGGAGTAGCTTGCCTGAAAGCTTGTACTGATGCCTGATTAGCCAAGAGCTGTTTTCAAGCTTTTGTGCAGACACCTGAAGGAGTCCAGTGTAGTCTAGCTGTCTAGCCCATGCACACATTGTCAGTAACCCAGTGAGCCTGTTCTCCAACTACAATATTCAGATTTTCATGTCTTTGATGGTATTTTTAAATGCTTTTTTACTCTGTTAATTCTGTCTTGTTTTTTTCCCCAATGTTCTTCTGCCACACCTTTCTAATATTGTACACTGAGCTCTGTAGCCTTCACCTCTTCTGAGGGGAATACAGGATAAACAAGAAAGGCTCAAAAAGATGTTAAGAATAGAAAATGAAAAGAGATGTTAGCAAAACTAAGGGGGGGGAAAAAACCAACAAGGTTTAGTCTTTCACTGAGTTAGATCAGAATGATGCTTGACAGAGAAAGAATGCACCAACTAGGATTAGCAGAACAGAGAATTGAATTACTGAACTGTTAAAGTCCCTTTAAACTTTCTGTCAGCTAAATCCAGCACACCAGCCACAAGAGATCAACAACAAATGCTTAACAGCACACCATTAATAAAAGCACCTGAAGTGTTGGACATTGTCTGCAGGTGAAACTAATCGTGTTTTAAACTGAAAACTTCCCAGTGTTCTGAATTAAGTTCTCTACTTAATCCATCCACAAAATAAATTCTAACTACTCTTAATTTACATTGTGTTTAGATACCTTGCAAAGGAAGGTGCAAAATAAATTAAGTTACAGACATTATGACCACCATAATAAATTGTATTCCTTTGTTTCTTGCATACAGGTGACGTATCCCCAGTGAAGTATTCAGCCTTTCATCCAGTAGTGCAGTGTCAGTATTTTATTTTTAAAGACTCTGACCAGCTAGTTTAAAACAAATGAACAAATAAAACGTCAAGTGTTCTTTATTAAATAACTCAAAAGGTAAAGCACATTGTGTGATTAAGAGAGACAATACTACTACTTCCAAAGGATTTTTACAGCAGAAAACAAGTTGTGACAAATAAGCATTTTGGTCTAGCAGCCAAATTGTCCTCATTGTAATGGAGTTAATTTCGGTCCTCAAATTGTGACTTGTTTTTTAAAAGATACGCTGCTAGAAATTCAATGGGATTTGGCGGTCTGTAAAAAAAAAAAAAGTGTAAATCAAAAGCAATTAATTTTTGTTATATGAACCTGGGTAGGTGAAGAACTAATCGCCTTCTCTGAAAAGCAACGTAACTCCTCTCAAACACCTGGAGGCACTGCCTTAGGGACAACCAACTACCCAGACCAACTCAGGAAGTTTCCAGTTTACACCTGGTCAGTAAGTTTTTAAATAAGGAATCCTGGTGGCCATTAGTTCCATGCTATTAAATTGCTAAAACAGTTACACACCTGGAATGAGGGTATACAGTATTTATGCTCACAGTGTACATACCTCATTGTAAGTCGTATGCATTTATCGATTTCTTTAATTCATACTGCATCAAATAACACTTTATCAGTTCTTGCTTCTTTTTCTTCTTGTGATTCTTGTGGCATTTGTGCATTACAAGTGTTTGCGTAGTTTCTGGCAACTACTATTTCCTGGGCCCTTAGCCCAAATAAAGCACTAATGTGCTTTAATGTCCTCAACCCCATCTTAAAAGTTACACGGCTTAATTATGTGACCTATGAAGAATCTCCTCCTTTTTTTCCAATTATGAATTTTCTACCTAGCTCAATTTCATTATTGTATCAGAAGAGATGGAAAATGCAATCCATCATTTCCTTGCTATTCATGATTAATCATATTTCTAATATATTTTCTCTCAGGCTGCAGTACTGTCTATTCAGTCACACCCTGCACTGATGGCATTCCATACTTAATGACCACCTTGTCACTCCTTTCTCTACTTTTTTACATTGTGCCAGAATACAGGGGAACTGGAATTATGCAAAACATTCAAAATACAAGAATGTTAAAGGTTTAAATAATGACATTGTGTTTTTATCCCTTCAATTTCTAAGTCACACAAACTGTAACTAAGTTCCAACTCTTCATTTACTCAGAAGATATTTTTGTAAGGGTAATTCTCAATTTATAAAGTTCCTGTGCTATTATTTACAGGCTGATCAACTCCAAAACAAAACAACAAAAAACCCCAAGCTGTTCTGTATAACCCAGTATCATTAACAAACTGGCACTCATTTTTTCAAGTTGTTACAAACGATCCTTTCCACGATTATCGTGTTGAGCTTTGTTCACCACAGAAGTTCACCATTTACTTTCACTCTACGTCTTTCATCATCCAACCAGTTCCTCCCATATGAAAACTTTTCCTTTTGTCTCACAGCAACTTAACTCTCATTAACAGCCATTAGTGACAGACTGCCAGAAGCTTTTTGGAGATTTAAACTGACTCTGTCATCTGGATTCCTGTTTACATGTGTCTGTTGATTCCTTCAATTAACACCAAGAGACTTAAAGTGCTGATTCCTCCCCAGATGACACTCAGTCTGCAGCAGACCTCCCACCGATGGCAACTGAAGATCAGCGTGCTGCCTCGGGAGCAGGGTGTACCTTCCTACATGCTCTTTTGTTTTGCTAGAAGCCTGTACAATCAGTTCAAATTCACAGCTCCTTCTGAGATTAAGGCACCGCGGATGGTTGTTCTGGCTATAGGTACAGTGAGGTCATTCATCCATACCAGCTTTGGAAATGTTATTTCAGCAAAACTGAGAAATGGTTTATATGCAGTGTGACTCACCAATAGTTGAGATAGAAATTCATTTGGACAAGATGAACCACTTTATTATTGTTAAAGAATATGCTTCTGTGTTGCCTGATAAGAGATTTGAGGCGCCTTAACAGAACAGAACAGTCTTTACTCAAAGGATGAACTACTGTTTGTTGTATTACTGTGTCAACACTGCAGGGTCAACCTCATCCATTAAAAAGTGTTTCAAACTTCTTAGGAGAAGCTATGTCCAGGCCTGATTTGCATTTGTTTCTTTCTTTTGAATGGCAAGCAGAACTCTTTATAATCCCACACGATAGAAATTTTGTTCAAAATTAGAACAGCTTCTTCCCTTGTTTTTATAAGGTAAATTATGTGATAAAATTTATGAAAAGTAGTCTTTTCCCTACAAAAACTTTGCAGTAGTAAGCCACATTGTGAGCCAAGAAATTAATTAAATAACCTTAACCATGCCATATGCAGCTAAGTGAGGATCACATCCTGCTACAATCACAGCATTTTATGAACTTGTTGTAATGGCTTTCTTACATCTGTCAAACTAATACCATATCTGGTGTGTGAGATCAACAAAGGTGACAAACTACCCAAGTTTGAGACCTACTTTCTTCCTAAGGACAGAAGGAACATTTCAGTATCTTACCTCTCTTTTGCAAGAACAGCAAGTCCCTGTAGCAAGATAGGTACAACAGTCTGATCCAAGTAGGCACGTGTGGGTAACGACTGAAGATCCACCTTTTGCTTTGATGTTTTCTCTGCGTTTAACTTCTCATTTTCCACTATCCTCTGAAGGAAAAGTGAATGAATATTGGTAATAGCAGTTAGATCTACTTTGAAGTATGTGGGCAAATAAAGTACCTGTTTCTCTGCGAGCTCACTGAAAATAACTTCTTTACATCTTTTAAGAAAATGTAAGTGTGCATTTTTCCTTGGACAAGCTTAAACCAGAGGAGTCTCTGTTCAGAGAAAACAGTCTTAGGAAGGTATAACTTTAACATGACCAGCTCCAACTGAATGGTTCCCGCATACCTCCACTTCCAACACAAAAGGGACTCTGTTAATGCCAAGCACTTAGAGACCACAGTAAAGTATAGGATACTTTACGAAAAGATACACAAAATGGTTCCAGGTGCCTGAAACACCTTGAAACTATGAACTCCAGTTAAAGAAAAGACACACTACTGCTGCCAGCATACGAAACACATTAAACACCATCTACAGAGATCTACAACTATACAACCCATGTCCTATGACTGCAGTGGAAAGTGCAGGCAGTTTTCAGGGAGCTCAGTCACTCAGGATGTTTGAGAAGTTTCTGCAAAGTCTTCGCATACAGCTTCAGCTTACACAGAGATGAAAGCTCACAAACAGCAGTAAACAAACATCTTAGAGTTATTATTCCAACCCACGCTGTTACCCGCGGCAGAGGCAGACTGGACTCTGTCTGCTCTATCAGCATAAGTAATTACAGCTAGCTTAGATTACTGTGATCCCATGTTCCCATTTACAAGGATATTAAAAAATCCCTCCCTTTGATATTTTTACAGAAATGCCATCAACTCCTATTCTCCTCTCTGTAATGAAAGCCTGTCTGCCTTTTAGCAGCATGGTCTGTTACTGGCACAGACAGCCATCACAAGGAATCTCAAAGGAATCTCATCAAAACGTTCATTACTTCAGCAGCATTCTGTCCCACAGAAGCAACACAAGACAACGCACTAACAGCTGACAGTGTAAGGCAATCTGCTGGTGCAGATCCCAACTCACTTTCTTGGGAACACTGGCTATTAAGTTCAGACCCAACATTTAACCTCAGGACTGTGACCCCTACTACACTTGAAAGTAATAAAGTCTGCCTTACCTCTACATTTTCAGTGAGCCCATATTCAGAATGGGGATTTTCTGGAACCTGTAAAACGAACACATGGTCAGCAACGCACAAACGCTTATTTCACACACGTACCGACAACGCACACCAAACGTTTCTTGCCGTACCTGCGGCTGTCCCTCCATGATCTGTTCTGCCTCCATGGTTTCCAACGTGTGATTTGCTGGATATACAGGAATCCTGGAAAGCAACAACACGAACCGGTCAGTAGGATGAGATCGAGACGAGACAAGCGTAGCATTTTCTTTCCCTTCCCTCTTCCGCTCGCGTGTCCGCTTTACAGTACCAGTACCCCGGGGCCCCCTCCTGCTACACCGCACCGCTCTCACCCGCGCAGATTCCGCTGCACGCTACTCCGCGACGGGACGGCAGAGCCTGCCCGTAGCAACCACAGCCACCGGCGCAGGTGTCGTAAATTGTTCGGACGTAAGTGAAACCGTCGCTCTGCAGCCGCCGCGCTCCAACAATCTGCGCTTGCGCAGAGTGAAACCCCGCCCACCTCGGCCGTCCGTGCGAGGGGAAGCGGGAGAGCGGCGGCAGCGCCCACAGCAGTGACGTCACTTGGGCGGAGCTATCGCGCCACAGCCGTGCTGTTGGCGGTCCGTTGGGCGGCGGGTTGCTTTGAGCGCCTGCTACGAGGGGAGGTGGGTCGGGCAGCCTGGTTGCCGGGAGGTGCTCCGCCTCAGGGCGAGCAGCTCTGAGGGTAGCATTAAGTTTTGCTATAATGTTATATCAGCTAGAAAAGGTTTCCTGACGGTACCTTCTATGCAGTGGCATTTGGTTTTGAGGTAGTTGTATCATTCTAATTCCTACGACTGCAGTGACTTGCCTGCCCCAGTTCCTGAACCTTCTGCTGAAGTGCCGTGTTCTAACTCCTGTATTTTGAGTCCCTGATCTGCAGGCTGAGCTCTGCTTTCTCACAGAAAAGTCCCGTTGGGCAGAGGAGCTGATTTGGCCTTTGCCCACTCCTCAATGCAGGTCTCATGTCTTCACTGGTGCTCCTTGGGGCTTTTGCTGAGATGGATCGTCTCAGCCAACAGCAGAAAGCCATCTGTTGCTCTCATTTGGCTTGGCTTCCTTTGTCTACAGCTTTTATTTACAAAACACACACACAAACTATTGCTTTTATGGCAGATTATCAATTAAAGTAGTTCATGGATAGGTCCAATGAATATTACAGCCAGCTTTAAATAGGAAGGCAATTAAACGGACTCACAGATGACTGAAATATTAGTCATAATAATGAACTGAGATTTTTAGGTTCTCACTAGAAGCATTATCACAATTTCTGACGCGTCTACTTCTTGAACTGTGCTTTGGCTTAAAAAATGATTCCCTTAGCAGGTGCACTATTTAGCAGTGTGTAGTTCTACATACCATAACAAAGTCAGATGCCTTACGGAGTTTACATTCTCAATGTTTTTAATAACAGCAGCTGAAGAGACTGAGTCATCGGGATTGTTGGAGACTCACTGTCCACACACTCTTCCCCTTGCCATTCAAGCTGTCCTTCAGTTTGTTAATAATTTATTCACTGACTGACTCTCCTATTATTTTGCATAGGAATAGGATGATGGTGTACATAACAGATGGGCAGTAGAGATGGTACATGGGTAGTTTGTCACATGGCTTATTATACATGAATTCTTTGTGTACTACGTAATATTAACGCTGCTTGAAGTTTCTAGAAGCTTGTTGGTATTCCAAAACCTCTGTCAAATTTTTAGGTAATTCAGCTTGTTAATGTATAGTTCAACTCATAATTTCAGTTTAACAAAAAGAGAAGTGGGGTTTTTTTAGGTTGTTAAGCACATCATTTTTCTTAACAAAGAAAAAAATACTTAATGAACATTACTGCATTTTTTGGGTGCTGATAGGTTACTAGCTCCATCTAATAAGCATTCTAGGCCACAAATATGTATTTTGTTGTATATTATTATATAGTTCATTCTGTAGTTTAGACATTAATAAAAACTAATACTCTTTATTAAAATACAATAACTCATTTATTTATTTAAAAAAATACGCATTACCAGGGTAAATTTTGTTACTAAAAATACCTGTGTGTGGCATAAACAAGCAATGAATAAATAACTTCATTCATTTTTCATGTATTTCTATACTGTGGGGACAGTGCAGATTACTGTGTACAGTGCTGTTGTGTAGTAGACAGATGGTCAGTCGTGATGCAGAATCACTGCCTCTCCTTGTTGTATGTGTGTAAGGTGTGGTGGAGTTGGGATTGGAGCAGAAGAAAGGATGTGCGATGGCATTGCATGTGCCAGATGCAGATGCGCAAGCAGAAGGTGGCGATTATGGCTGTCTGCCCTGGATGCCAGACTCGTTGTGCCAAAGCACTTGGAGGACTTGAGGTAACAAAGGCACTAAGCAGCTGGGGGTTATGTCTCAGTGGGAAAGACCCATCAGGCAATAAATATTGCCGTTGCTAAATAATTGATAAGGCTGACTGGACCAGCGGGGCATTCATCCTCGCAACGAGAGTAGAAGGCGTTGAGGTTTATTCCCGGAGTGACGTATCTGTGCTTGATGTCCGCGCTCAGCTCCATTACTCCTCCCCGGGACTACATTTCCCAGCGTGCATCGCGGCCGGCCTACGTCTCCCGCGGGACCGCACGCAGCGCCGCGTCGCGCCGAGCGCGTTGTGCCCGCCCCGCTCCCACCCCGCGCCGCCCTCCGCGAGCTGCAGGAGCCCCGCGGCGCCGACTCCGCCTCCTATTGTCGCTGCGGCTGCTGTGCCTCAACAATAGCGGCGCTGGGAGCGCTGCGCCTGACCGCTGTCAGCGCTCCTCCCCCGGGGTCGAGTGAAAGGGGCGTCGCTCGCCGCCGCCATGGCTGGTTGTTGTCAGTCGCTGGCAGCGGGTTATGGCGACGGCGGTGAATGAATTCTCCGGGAGGCAGAGGGAAGAAGAAGGGCTCAGCCGGCTCCAGCTCCGCGCCTCCCGCCGCCGGGGCCTTCCCCTCCGCGCCGTCCGGGCCGGCTCCCCCCGCGCCGCCGGCGGGGGCGGCAGCGGCGGCAGCGGCGTCCCCGCACAAGCGGAACCTGTACTACTTCTCGTACCCGCTGTTCGCTGCCTTCGCCCTGCTCCGCTTCGTCGCCTTCCAGCTCGGGCTGCTGGTCGCCTGGCTCTGCGAGCGTCTCTCCCGCGGCGCACTCATGGCCGCCAAGAGCAGCAGGGCCGGCGATGCGCCCGAGCCCGGCGGGGCGGCCGAGCGGGTGCGGGCGTGCCACAAACGGGCCTTCGAGTGCATCTCCATGGCGCTGCGCATCGATGAGGACGAGACAGGTAGGGGCGGCGACGGTGCCCGCGGCCGCTTTGCGTCCCGACCGATGCGGGCCTGCGGGTCGGGAGCGGCCCTGAGGAAGGGCGGCCCCGTAAGCTTAATTACGGCCTTCGGTTCATAGCTGTGGGGGTGCGGGTGGAGCTGGCTCCCGGTTTAACCCGGCCGCCTGGGCCGGCGAGGTGGGTGCAGCCCTCCAAGTACTGCTGAGGAGCGGTGGGCGCGTTGAAGACTTGTTCCGACAAATAGGCGCCATAAGCGGCCCATTCGGAGTCACTGGGAAAAGGCTCGTGCTTGGGCAACTGCTGGTCTGCTTTTATTTCTGCGTTTGACAGGCTTTCTCTGGTTTAAAACAGAAACAAAAACAAAAACAAAACAACACTTCTCACAGTGTGACTGATAGGTGGGCTTCAGGAAGGTGAATGCAGATATGAGGGTGCTGCACCTGTCTTTTGTGCTTGTTTTTGTCTGGAAGGGTAAAACAACCCAACCAAATCACGGTTCTGCTTGTGTTTTTGATTTTAGCTACATGAGTAACAGAATCACAGAATGGTTTGGGTTGGGAGGGATCTCGAAGCCCACCAATCCCAGCCATCTGCCATGGCAGAGCTGCCCCCCACCAGCTCAGGCTGCCCAGGGTCCATCTAATCTTGCCCTGTGTGCCTCCGGGGATGGGGCGCCTGCAGCTTCTCCAGGCAGCTGTGCCAGGGCCTCACTGCCCTCTGAGCAAACATTTTTCCCTTTGACATCTAACCTAAATCTCCCCTCTTTTCATTTAAAGTCATTCTCCCTTATTCTACCCCTTTCTACCCATGTAAATGGTTGATTTTCCCTCCTGCTTTATAAGCCTCTTTTAGTACCAGAAGGTCACCTTCTATCAGGTATCCGCTGAGCCTTCGCTTCTCCAGTCTGAATGTTTGGCTTAACTGCAACAGCACAACTGTCAACACCCAGAGGCAGCCCTGCTGGTTGTGCATGTTCTAAAATCCTTAGGGAGTGTCAACAGACCTCACTCTACCCTTTTGACTAGGTTGTCAGTGCAGCATGCTAAAGAAGCAGTAACACTGAAACCGTTGTAGTAGGCCTCTGCTGGAAGTGGCCTGCTGAGCACACCGTCTGAGCTCCCTTATGCTGAGGGTTTGGGAGTGGCAACATTAAGCTCTGGGGAAAGGAACGCACTGTGTGTGCATTGAGGTCAGCTCGGAACAGATGCAAGGAGCTCGGTGGTGCTGATGGCAGCTCTGTGCAGTGGCCAAGGCTGAATTGCTGATATAAGACACAGCTATGGAACAGGTGGCTTGCTGATTGGGAGGGGGAACCTGCAGATCTTCATTTGTCATTGACTTGTTTTATAGGTATTCTTAGAGTTATCATATTTGAGTTAGTTGCACAAGGTGTATACTTAGTAAGAAAGCAGTCTTTACAGCCAATACAGCAATCACAATTGCATTAGCTGTGTCACTGAGAAGGAGCTTGGTTTGCTTTAATGCACAGATTGACTGCTCATCTGTTTTGCTCATGCCACTGTTGTATGTTGTACCTTCTAACTTGTTTGTTATGTAAATAGCTTTTTGTAACTTTCAGTAAAAACTGTGTGAGGTGTAGTACATGAAATGGTTGGAATTTCTGGGTTAGTTAATGTTGTGTCAGTTATGTGGAGTTTTTGCTGTTCTGGAAGCTCAGTAATTATGATATCACTTCAGATAGTTTTTGTGCTTGTATATTTTTTGGGAAATCAGTGTTAATGTTTTGGCATTTTCGAACTCCAGCTCAGTGCCCTGTATTTCTCTGGGCAATTCCCCCCTCCCCAGAAAGAATGGTGTGGTGGCTGCCAGCCAGTGGAAAAGGGTGGGTAGGGAGCAAGAGGGGTAGAAGTGAGAACTTGTGAGCAGAGAATCCAAGGAGTGAGGGGGAGGGGAACACATGGCAGAAAGGCACTCCCTTAGTAACTGCCCTCAAGCAGACTTATACCCAGCCAGGTTCTGAGTGATGCAAGCCAGCCCCCCCCATGCACATACACCTGCCCTGTTCTTCCTCTAAGTTTTTGTTTCTGGGCATGATGTTACACAATATGTGGTATTTCTTTGGCCAGTTTGAGTTAATTGTCCTGTTCTCACTCCAGCTTTATCTCTGGGGGAGTGGAGTGAGCAGAAGAAATCTTTGAGACTGTGCAAGTGTTGCTCAGTGACAGTCAAAATGAATGGGTGTCTTGTCAAGACTTCAGTCACAGATCAAAACACAGCAGTGCAAGCTACTGTGAAGAAGACTCTCTCATTACAGTGAATCAGTAACTTCTGATGAGTGTGGCTTTTTTCATGCCTTAGCCCCTGGGAATGTATAAGTGGTTCTGCGTGGGCGCAGTGCTGCCCTTGCAAGCAGCTGGGTTGGTGCTCTGCTTTCAGAGCTTCCTTCTGTTGGAAGGTGGAGGTGAGATTTAATGATGTGCTTGGCACTCCTGGGACTGCTCCTCAAAGGAGCAAAGTGACTCAAGCAGTAGTAAGGGTGGCTGGAATCACTTCATGTTTCTTTTATAATGGTTATAAGCAGCTTTAAACTTGCACTGCAGTTGACACTATTTCTGTAGGTGAGAAGGAAAAATGTAAAGAAAGGAGGCTGCAGGAGAGATGGTAGCCAGACAGCTTTTGTTATTTCACTTTCATAGCTTTTCTTAACAGTCAGGGTGTGTGAGACTGGTGGAAAACAAGCAGAAATGATTCCCAAGGTGTGCAATGCATGCAGCTGTAGAAAGGTGCTGCTCCTGCTTTCTATGTTAGTAAGGAGGGTGAAGTATGTGGTTAGCTGCACAAGAAAAGCTGCCAAAAGTTAATGAAAGATAATAATCTGGACAGGGAGGAGGAGTCATCTTAAGGTTTTTCTCTTGAAATGTATTGAAATATTTTCCTGGCACTGAAATTTTGTAGAAAATACACCTGGTACTGAAGTTATAGAAAGGTCTGAATAAAGAGGCAACACATTCACCGCTAGCTGGCACTTATGAATACTTTTGTTATCTCTTCTGAAACCAAGGTCATAATATCTGAAGACTTCATTCTAGGTATTTCTTGTTCTTCTAGCACTAGGGGCTTCTTAGTGCTCATCAGCACTAAGAACATAAGTCTATATTCCTTGCTGGAAAGGTATGTTTAGTTATGGCACTGCTAACTTGAAAAAGCATCTGTCAGTATGCAGCAAGATAGCTTTTGACCACAGGATATCTATAGGAAGGGAGGAATTGCGCAGATCTGAGTTACTTTCAGTAGATCATTTGTTTTCATGGTGCTGGATAAAACGGGCAAGGTGTAGGCATGCGGATGGACTTGTTCTTTTCAAGACTGTATTTTACTTCATGTACAAGTTGACATACACCCAGAGTACAGCAATTCCATGATAGAGTGGAAAAAAAAAAAACAAATAGACCCATGGCAAATGAACTGCTCTGGGCAAAACTGAACCAGAAGTATCTGATGTCATGTGGGTAGTACCTCAGGCTCATTACTTTTCTTCTTGAATTTCAATACTTCTCGTGTTACTTTAGTATTAGGTGTCCCTGGAAGATTAACATGCATGTCTTGTTTTGATGTTTCAGAAGGGAAACAAATCCACACTTCACCATTTCTGTTGTGGTTCTATTTCTGTGTAGGCTTTTTCTTTCTCTTCCTCCCCACAGGGAGAGCAATCTCGTTAAGCTAGACGAGGTATTTTCTAAAACGGGCAAAAGTGATTTGAGGCTGGTGTGATACCTGTTGTTAATAGAGAAGCTCATTTGGAACTAGAAGTAGATATGAAGTTGACAGTGTCCCTTTAAGTGTTTCCTAGAATTTTGTCCAAATGAATCTTCCTTCACTTTGCTTGTTTTGTGGCATTATATGGAAGCATTCCTGAACTTTAATCTGTTACATAAAATAATGGGTTCACTTCCTTTTTAAGCAGGACAAAAGGAACAAGCTGTTGAATGGTATAAGAAAGGAATTGAAGAACTGGAAAGAGGAATAGCTGTCTTAGTTGTTGGTCAAGGTAAGCCAGTTTTGAGTCTTGTGAAAAAGATTTGCTTTATTGATCAGTACTGCTTTATGGCTTCCTCAAAAATGAGATATAATTGCTAAATGTGGTAGGTGCTAGGAATGGTTTGCTGTTTCTCATTCTTGTTTAAGCTGTGAGTGAGCACTGGTCCATTTCTCTGTTCTGCCTTAGTGTTCTGTCTGTAATGGAACTCTTGCTTCAGGTATTACAAAATAATCAGTTCATCTAAGAAAAAAAGTTATGAGTAAAATGCTCAATTTCTTAATATTTTGGCATTTCCTTTGTGTGTTTTGATTTGGTTTGCCAAAGCTGGCAATCTTGAATTAGTTCGTTTTCTCACTTATTCAGAATTTTGTAATCTCTGCAGTATAAACAAGGAAGAAACAGTAAAAGCCTCACTGACTTGGATTAGTCTAAAATTGTCTTTCTAGATAGCTTATGTCAAAATATCTGAGCACTTCCAGCGAAGGAAGTAAGCTATCTATGTATATAGAAGCATCTTGAGCTGTAGCATAGGAGCCTATATGTAACACAGAGAAATAGTTGTAGGGAAAGGTTAACTAAAGATCTCTGTCCTCAAAATAATGTAAAAGCAAACAAAAAAAGCTCCAGGGCTGCTTTAGCAGACTGCTGGTTTGTTCCTCAGATGTGTTCCGAAATGTTTGTGAACAGTGTATGCTGATGTTTTACCTGTGCAGCATCACCATTGGCATTTGATACAGCCTAAATTGTGTAGTTAAAAAAAAGTTCAGCTTGAACAGATGTTATTTTAAATAAATAGCAATATAAATATCTGTAACTCTGAGTACTTTGAAATGTAAAGGGACACAGTCAACTGAATTTAGATCTCTTCATATTACCATAATAGTGATTTTAAATTGTATTTGCCTCTCAGTCACTTCTCAAGCTTCTTAAAAACCTATTTTATTTGACTCTTTTTTTTTTAAGAAAAATGTGGTGGAAAGGAGTGTATTTGGGTCAGTGTGAGATGTAAGAGAATAGATGTCCACCTCTCTATGAGCAGTATTGTGAAACACTGCAGCAACAAACTTGAAAATCTTGATTAAATAGGAAACTTCATTAGTTATTTCTTAGTGGAGGGGGCAGCTAAGGAGTGGGAGGAAGAAGATGGATGGCTGGATGTCAGTGTTTTAGCAGTTTAAAAAGTTAATTTGCCAAGTTTTAACATTGATTTTTCTTTGTAAGGTGATCAGTGTGATCGGGCTCGACGTCTGCAGTCTAAAATGATGACAAATTTGGCAATGGCCAAGGATCGCTTGCAGCTTTTAGGTACCAGTTAAAATTCATGACTTTGGAAAGTTTCTCGTTATTTGCACAACTTGATGGAATCCATTTTTCCAAAATGTCTTTGTGATATTTATGGTGAAGGAGTCATTGTCTGTAGGATCTCCAAACTAAGTAATGTTTTTCAATGCTGTTGAGTTCAAAATTTCCTGCCCTTAAACTAGGTGAAAAAGTTATTGAGAAGTCTTTATAGCTTAGCATTCCGAACTTGTAAACTGGGGAAATGTTGTCAGTGTTGGAGTTGGTTTAGGGCTTCTGCATAAGAACTGTAGTAAAACTTGTGATGTGTTGCTGATCACAATCAGCACTAATAGTGCACCTTCTGTAAGTGCAACTTTTTCCTGAAATTTTGCTGTCACAAAAAATTCTGATTATTGGTACGTACTATGGTAATAATTCCTTAGTATTATGAAGATCATAAGCTTGTGAAATACTTATTCTTGTAATCTTTATCTGTTAGTGTTCTATTTTAAGTCTAGTAGGTAAGATCACTTCTTTTTGGAAGGATGATATTGCACAATTTTGGCTTTATTAAAATTGAGTTTTTTGTATAAGCTGTTAATGGTCAGAGTAAACAGAGAGGGTTGGAAATGGCATCTTACTGTGCATGGTATAAAGTCAAAAGCCTACAAGTGCAGATTTTTGTGGTGTATCCTCCAACCTGAGAATTTTGGAAATTCGTTCGGTCAATGAAGTGGAAATAAGGATATTTAGTGTTCTTTTAGGGAGAACTAACAGATGAATGTGCTTGGGCTTAACTTGCATGTCTGTAGCTTTCATCTTGCACTGTGGTGTTTCCAGTTCCATTAACTCGCTCTCCTAGGAGCATGTAGAGCAGCTGGAAAACTGATATTCCTTCTTCTGCTTGTGCTTTCTGATTCTGTCGTTGTAAATGGTGACTGGTGGAGGTGTTATGGCAGCCACAAGGAAGTGAATTCTTTTTGTTCCCCTCGTATTGCAGGTGTCCTCTAACCCTTCTCCTCAAAATGTGGAGGGAATATGTAGTCGAGGGTCCAGCTTCTTTGCTTTGCTGTAGTCTTTTATCTGTAGAACCTTCATATGTCCAAGAAAGTGGCTGTTATTTTTTTGGGTTTTTCCTATACTCATATGAGGTCAAGCTGGTATCTTCATCTTTTCTACCATAATGTGTGATCACGTGATATTTGGATTCTTCATTGAGAGTGCAGGTTGAGAGGTAAATGGGTAGAATAGTGTTCACTGCCTAAGTTGGTGTCAAATATGTATTTTTGAAATTATCCCAAGCTTAGTACTTCAACTTAGTGCAAACTGAGCATGAGTCTCAGTCTAAAACAGGCTCAGGCTTCCAACAATATGTGTGAGAGCAAAGCTTAGGAAGGAGCAAGTGAAGTCATTTGCCCTCTGTGAAGGAAAAAACGTTGTTTTGAGAGGTTTTCCAGCTGCATTACATCCTGCAAGCTTCATCATTATGGATCTATTTAAGGAATATTTGTTGTAACGTTTAACCTACTTTCAAGTATTTTAAAACTTCTTTTAAATTACATGTCATTTTACGTGGACTTGGTAGTAATTTAAGGTAATATAGAGTTGAATTATATGTGTTATTTCTAAATGTAGCTTGTTACTTTTAGTAACAGATATCTGGAAGTTTTCTGATGGCTTGTTGATGCTTTTGCAACTGAACTGAACCTGAGGCTGTTGAAGCTGTTAGGATTCATTGAGGTTATTTGTCCATGAATTGAGCTCTGAAGGTCAAGGAGTAAACTTTTTTTTCTTGCCCTTAGGAGTTTTCTCCATTTCTTAATGGTACTTTATTGCATTAGCTAGCAAGATAAAACAGGCTTAAAGTAGACAAAAATATCAAATGTTTTGTTCTGTTTGACAGACAAAGACGCAAATGCAGATTGCTAAACAGAAATTTTAGTCAGTCAAAGTGATGCCAGTAATATAACTGGATTTTTGCTTTCTATTCTTGGGTTTTAACTGTCACTTAGAAGTACTCAGTGTTTGTCTTTCAAAGTGTTGGGTCATCAGTGAAAGGTGAAGGTGATGGCATTGGTCTTTTAACATTTGAACGAGAGGATGTAGCTACTTACATGTTTTGATCCCTGTTGCATCTGGAGTGTGAATTACTGTATTGAATTCTGTTTAAAGTTTTATTGTGACACAGTTTGGAAGCTAAAGTTATGCCAGGTATGCTTTGGAGAGGCTCAAGGTGACTCAGTCTTTTTAGCCAGCAGAATTGGGTATTGCCATTGGTCTGCCCATCAGGTGGCTATCAAATTTGACCACTTGGTGTTGGTGGATGTCCCCTTTTTTGATAGGGATTTGGAGCACTGTGGTTTAGGGAATGTTAGCTGTGCAGATGCTAAGGTGAGTGGATAAATCCTGCTCTGGTAATCTCCACAGACCAGGTCTCTCCAGGATGGCTGATCACTCAAGTTAGGATCATTATATTTGATACATTTAAGAGTCACAGGAGGTTATTTGTTTTCTACAATCAGTACATAAAACATGTCATTTTTCTGTTGCAAAAAATGGATAACTGCAATGTCTGCACAATGCAAGTCAGTTCTAATGCTGAAAGTGCTTAGTAAGAATATGTATTCTCCCATTTTGGGGAGATTTTCTGTTTGGGGACAGGTTGTCTGCACAAGTGTATTTCTGGATACTATGTGTGGAATAATTTATTTTGGTTGAAAGAAGGTGTATATGGCACATAATTTAGATACTTTTCATCAGTCTCCTATCTGGTAATAATTCTGGCCAGGTAAGGACATGAACTTTAACAGACACGTTTTGTGACAACCCTGCTTTTTGGAGATGATAGTGCTTTTGCTTTGGGGTTGTGTTATGTGATAAGTGATTTCCAGTAAAAGAAAACATTACTTGGAATGCTACACAGATAAAAGGACAGCTGCTGCGGTGTTTGTTTGGTAGGTTTATGCCAATGTTGTACCATTAGGGAGAAATAATGAGATTCTATGAACTGTTGTCAGCCTTTCCAATTTCTAGGAAGAAAACATTAAAATGAACAGTGATAGAGACCTCTCAATTCCCTGAGATAATATTTAATAGCTCAATTTATTTTTTTTTCTTTATTCTGGAGGTCTCTGCAGCTATTCTGCCTTTGAAGAAAAGTGATGTGTTTGCATTATATAATTTTATGTGCCATATTCAAATGGCATGTTAATATGTAGCACGCTGGGAGGAATTGTGTGAATTGAAGGTGGACAGCAGTTGGGTTGCTTGGTGGTTGTTGCAATTCTGGAGTTCCTGAAGACATGAAACTGTTCTGGAAGTGTAGCAATTGATAAGTATGGTAAAACCCCAGTCTGAAACTGTAGTATTGAAGCAAATAGGGCTTCCTGAATTCCTGCCCAAGCCAGTTGGTTTTATACTTACTAGAGGCTTTTTTGTGTGTGTGTTTTGTGAAGCTGAGAAATGTTATCCAAAACTTAACTGCTTATCTAATATCTTGCCATGTCTTTAAATACTAATTTTGTTTCCCAAAACTTTGTATGTGCTTCCCACGTAGAGTGCGTCGTTGGGAAGGGAATAGACTATTCTGCCTTCTCCTTCAGTTGTGCTGTGCCCCCTGTGTTTACAGTCAGTCATGCTCAGGGAGCTTTTCTGAGAAATGAAGTTTCAATGCATGTGCTGGTTGGCAGCTGTTCTTGTGCAGCCAGCATTCTTGGTTTTACTCTACCCAACTTCTGAATGCTTTCAGCTTGCAACATAATAAACTCTGGGTGCATGTGCTAATCTGAACTTTATATTTTCACTTTCCTACGATTACTGACTTTTCACTCTATACTGCATCTCATTCAGTTTGGATGTTATTCTACGGATGTTAACACTTTACGTCTTTGCACTCAATAAAGATACTTCTTGGGGAAGCTAGGGTGTAAGTGACTGTGAGCAGGTAAAAGAAGAAAAAAGTGGGAAAAGAACTGTAATAGTTGAAGTGAAATTTAGGAAATGATTTTGCTTATTGATTATATGATCTGCAAGGTCTGAATGGTGATTCTCCCCCTATCCAGCATGACTGTTTTCAGTAGAATTCAGCTTCTTCTGTATTAAGTTCCTATATGTTGCCAGAAGACTTCTATCCTCTGCTTAGCTGTTTTCCTGCAGCTTCTTTGTGATGTGTGCCTTGCAGTCTCACTGATGGTTGTTTGCTTTTATGAAAAGGGGCAGAGTTGAGTGCAAGATAGAGGTGGGAGAGCTTGTAAAGGGGCTGTAAAGTGAGAGCAGTGGTAAAAGCAGTATTGGTAAGCTGCACTGAATTAATGATCCTGAGACATGATTCTTGGTTAGTGTAGGCTGTAGCCTTGCACCTCTTTACTTTGTTCTTTGGATACTTTATTGTGACTGGGAGTTCTTTTCTTTCTCCTTAATCTTTAATCTTATAAATCTTGTATTTGGATATTTCTGAAGTTAATACTCTTAGAGAACTCAGCTTGCATGACAATTTTATTGACTTTCGGGGCTACCATAATTATAAATCTTGAAGACATTTGAATGATATCTGTGTGGTGTTTTCCTTGAATCAGTGAAGATTTTGTAAAATGGTGGATATTACTGATTAAGCAAAACATTTAATATGCAGAAAATTGAAGACTCCTTGCAGTTGATCAGAAGTAAGGCCTTGGGGAGGACTTGCGGAAATGGGTTATCAGCACAAATCTTAGTAGATGGAATTAAATTAATCCTGACCACCGCTTTTGGCAAGTAACTGCAATCACTAAACTGGAAAGATTGCTGTAATGAACTCAGCCAGAAGCGGCTAGTTTTTAAGCAGTTCTCAGTCACGTGTGCACTGACAGCGTTTTCTTACTAGCTTGCTAACTGTGTAGAATAGATAGAAATACTCCTTTTATTTTTAACCCGATATTGAATATAACAAAGCCGAAGTTGACATTTGTGTGTTCAACATACATGAGTTTTCTTGGTTCATTTTTGTTGTGTTTTTTTTTGTTTGTTTGTTTGTTTTGTCCTTTTTTCTCCCTCTCCCTCTTTCTACTGTGTAGAGAAGCTGCAGGCAGATTTGCAAATTTCCAAGCCGCAAATGGAGGTCTATAATGACAGTACTAACCTGGCATGCCGCAATGGACATCTCCAGTCAGGTGGGTTTGGCTTTACCAGCACCTAACTATTCAGGGGATATTTTCCAGTTTCTGGTGTGTTACAAGGTAAATAATATGCAATGCTATGTTCTGGCCCCTCAACCCTTTTAAAAACCCATTCCATATTTCTGTCTTAAAGACTATATAAATACATCTCATTCTATCGGTGTCTGTGACAAACTCGTTTTATTTTGTAGTATGCAGTTCTGTCTTTAAAATGACTGTCCTTGCATCCTCTTCATTAAATCAAGTATTAGAATCGGAGACTACTTATGAACGCTGCATTTCAGAAAATAAATTTTGATGTTATATACCTAATAGCATTAAACCTGTTTTAGAAAGTGTTAAAAAATAAATGTAGATTATATATTGTGCCTATATAAGCAGCTCTTTGGTTAGGATATAGTACAAATTGATGTACATTTGCATTAAGTTCCTTTTAAAGTATAGGGATTTATAATCTGCAAAAGCAAAATGCAGTTAAGATGGGAAGGGGGAGAGATGAGGGGACAACTGTGTTTTTTGTCACAGAAGAATGGTTTTATCCTTTGCCAGAAGACTGCACTAGGAATACTGAGCTCTTGGAAGCAAACGTGTAGAATAGAGTTGCTGTGAGGTTTGTGAATTGTCTTCAAGGAATGTGTTAAACCAGCAGTCATAATCATGATTGTCATAATCATGATCTCAAATGAAAATTTATACAGTAGACCGTGATGAGGTTGAGTAAAATAGTGAGCTGAGAAGCAATAGAAATCACAAGGCTTGCCTACTGAGGAGCAGTATTCAGGTTTTTAGAGTAATTAAGCTTAATCATGTGGTTTACAATAAGTTTTGGTTTTTTTTATTCCATTTCTGGCTTTGAAGTCTTTTTCCAGCTTGTCTTTGTATGTTCTTATGTATGAGGAGTTGAATTAGTAAAAGTGTTTTGTTCAGCACCTCTAGACTAGAGCATGTGGTGTTTTTGTTAAAATGGCATTTGTCAAGAAAGATTTAGCAAAAATGGCTCTCAGGTATAATTTCTTACTTCAATAGAATTTGAGAACACGTTGTCTTAAATGATCCAGTACGTCTGGATTTTTTAGCTGACTGGCAGAAGATTGAATGAATGAATGCATACACGTGTGCATCCACATGAGAGTAGATAGCAAGTTCCATCTGATTCAGTATTAACAGTTTTTTTTTCTTAAAACCCATTCCTTTGTTTTTGTACCTTTTTGTCAACATCTCAAAATTGTATGGTGCAGGAGAAGAAGGTTAGCCTGAGCTTTCTTTCCTGTTAAGACTGTTACTTCTGTTAATTAAATGTTAGTACAACAGCATTGGTGCCTCCTGGAGAGAAAGAAACATTTTGCCTGGTCTGTGACAGGTGTCTTTATGTACAGAAATTTCTGTAGCAGAATTGTTGTTCTGCAGCAGTCATTGCTGGTAAACATATGGAAAGTGATAACAGTGAATTTACTCATGTGGAGTCGTAGTTACGGTGATTTATGGAAGTTGGATGAGTGAAACACTTGGTCGGAACTGTTCTACAAGGAGCAGAGAAGCAGCTGTGAATGGCCCTGTGAAGGGCCTTTTCTGTTTTTGTTTTGTGTGTCTCTTCCACTGTTTGAAAAGATTCCCATTCCTCCAAGGCTGCTGCTGGGGTTGGAGAAGCTGCAGGCTGTGTCAGATTGGGTGCAGTGGAGGCCTTCTGACAGAACTTCACTCACAGGGAAACTTGCATTTACTCAACTCTGTGACAACTGAGATGAGACAGAAGGAGGCCATTGAAATAGTTAGGTACCAAATATCTGCTGGCTGATTATATTGAGCAAGGCTTCTAAAGGCTTGCTCCATCTCCATTTACCTTGTAAAAGATGCATTTCATATTCAGAATACATACGAATCAGGGATTTACCCAAAGTACTGAACCTCTTCTGCCATTCTAGATCCCTGGAAGAGCCTCAGAAGTCAGCCTGTTAGTAGCTGTTGTGGCCATTCCCTAGTAGACTGTATGTGCTCTGTCTCCTTAGTCTTGTTCAAGAGAAGGTGTTGCTACTGCAACTCATTTTGAACTACCTTATTAATTCTGCTTCAGTCTGTTGATCATCTTGCCTCTGTGCTTTCTTAGCACTTTGGAATGAAGTTAGTATTTTCAGTGACAGCAGTACTGGAAAGAATTAAACTACATGAATAAAGCAAAACAGCCAGCTACTTAGAGATAGGAGGGCTGCTATCATTGAACAAGCAGAGGTACAGAGCCTACAGGGTTTGGATGTAAGCTTTGTTTTTCATAGCTGCATAAAGCATTACCTGTGCTCTTCCTTAATTAGGCTGTGCTGCTTCTGAGTGCAGGATTTCATTAGGTGTGATGCACAGTCAATCACATATTTAATGTCAAGAAAGGGCTGTTTAGCAAAGGAGGTGAGATGTAAGACATGTTCTTTTCTATTTAACTCCTAAGGTGTTTAAAGACTTCATTTGTATCTTAATTCTACTTGATACTATCTTCTTATGTTTATAGTGCACAATTCTTATATTTCCAAACTGGTACTGATTTGAGATTCTTGCTTCTTTCTAAGTGCTATTTGTATGGATTCTAGATGGACATACTTGATTCTACCACAGGTGTCTGTGAATTTGTTACACTTGTTTTCTAACTTACCTGAACAGCTGGAGATTCTTCTTGAAAATGTGTGTGATGAGAGTTTTGTAAAACCTCGTTATAGCAGTATATAGCCCTCTACTTGCAGGAGACTGCCCAGTTGCTTGTCTTAAGAGTCAGCCTTCACGCAAAACTTATTGTCCATCCCTCTTGTTCTCATAGTGGTCTTTAATTAGATTTAAGAAGATTTAGCTGGATCTCTTTTTTTTTTTTTTTTTTTGTTCAGATGTGTATTCCTCTTTGTATTCTGGGTGGTAGGGTTGTTTTTCAGTTTCTCGAGGTCACTGTCTTATCTCTAGATCTATGTCTGTGATGGGGGGCAGGAGCCCCACTGGCCCAAAAAGGGAGGAAAGGGAACAGAAAGGGAAAAGGACAGCAGCAATGGTCTGAGGAGGAAAGCAAATTTTGTTTACTAATTATAATAGTGAAAACACAAGTTAATTGGGATTGAAACTAACAAATCAAATAAATAAAAGAATTTTCTGAAAACCGAAGTTCTTCCACTGATCTGCCAGGGAGCAGAAAGAGTCTTGTGACTTGCAGTCAGTTTTATCTTTCCCACTGACCAGAAAATGGAGATGGGGCAGTGGTGTCTTCTGGGAGCTATAGTATGTTTCTGTTTACCTGTCCCAGAAGAACTGTCAACCATCCATGGAACTGCAGGATGAACTCTTCAATTCCCAGTGCTCTGCATGATGTTACAGTGTGGAATACTAGTAACAGAAATTGTAAAACCATGACATCAAGCTAGATGGGGAAGATTACTGATCTTGCAAAAGACAGCACAATATTGTTGTTATTAGAGTAACTCTAATATACCATTTTTACGTTTGATCTGTTATTAATCAGTGAGATATGCCTTCTCAAAGGCAATATATTTCTGGTTCTTAACATAATATCAGTACTGTATAAATAGCTTGTATTTTGTTTTCACTTCATAAGTTTTGCTTACATGTCTTTAATTGTAAGCATGGATTGGCAATATTCTCTGAGTTGCAAAAATTACATTCTTAAAAAAAAACCTTTATTATTATTGGGGAGGATCCCAAAATAGAAGAACAAATAGCAATAAGATTTTCTGACACCATAATTTGGCCATAGCAGCTGTTTGACTAACGTGGCTCTACTGGGAAAGCATCCTGCATTGACATAGTTGTGCTGGCATCCAGGATATGGAGCATGGATATGGAGGTTCTTGTTAGCCACTGAAGTTTTCTGTTGTCTTTTATTACTTGATTGTACGTAGTTGAAAAAATTGAGTATTATCTTTGAAGAAATTATTATTAGGGGGACCACTGTGATTGTCAAATCTGATTACTTTTTCCTTACAATTGCTGTGTATATTTTGCTGTGCAGTGTTTGCAGAAAACGTATAGCTATGCATCTTAAAGACTTTTTGTTACACTATGTAACATTTCTAGACCAGTGGATTTTTTACAATATTTACTATTATTTTGAATTTGAGGTCCAGAGGCTACATACAGTATGTTTTCTTAGTTAATTTATAAATAAATTCTTGATAATATATAAGCAAAGCCTCCTTGTGGAGGTGAAACTGAAGAACTATATTCAGAACTGTTTCTGCAGCACTTTGTGTTACCCAGTAGGACTGACCACAGAATGTCTGTAAGTTTAGTGGTTTTGATTTCTGAAGGTACAGGCAGTGTAAATAATAATTTGTGTTCTTAAACCTTTTCATGTTTGAAGTAACAAATTGTGATTTGTTCTAAATGTTTCTCTTTTCCATGTTTTGTTCTCCCTGTGTTTCCAGATTCCTTAAATAATCCTTACCCATGCAATTTGTATGATGCTAAAAATTGCAGTGTGTATGTATTGCTCTTCATAGATAGGGAAAGTTTTGGAAAAACATGAGGATTGAGCAGCATGTTAGAGTGAAGGAGCTGGAGAAAAATTACTGTAGCTTCTTGAAACTGCCCCATATTGACTTCAAAACCAGCTGTGCAAATGAAGCTGAGAAATTAAAATTTGTGTCATCTTCTGATTAAATTGGAAAAGTTAAAATGAGTAGTATTTTTAACAGATTGATAAGCTGCTTTTTGAACTTGAGCTTTGAAGTATGCCTCACTCAAAGAGCTTTTGACTCAGAAGTTATTGTGCAGGAATGACTAAGTGAAAACTCACTTAGTTCAGATCTGGATCTTTGTGTGATTTAGTCAGGAAGCATCTTACAGATACAGTTGACTGTATTCTTCAAGTTCCCTCGTATTTTGCATGTGCATCTTCCAGTACTGTATTCCCCCCACACAAGAAGACAGATGCTGTGCCTGGATTTTCAGCAGTTAGCCTGACCAGTCTTTGTGCCTGCTTCTCACCTCTTAGTCTGTGTCTGCATCTGTCTGATGTTTTACACCTGCCAGTTCTGAGCCAATGAACCCTCTTTCATCCTGTATCCCACAGAGAGAATGTAGAAATCAAGAGCTATTTGTTTACTCTAGACTGGAAATGTCTTTTTAGAGTTTAATCACTTGTGGCCAAGATGTTAAGATAAGTTAAATCTGTCACCAGGTACAAGACCTTTCTGCTCCATCATGGAGGTGAACTGGAGCAAGTGTAGATGAAATGGTATTACACCACTGAATTGAAATATTTTAAGATTCAATTTGGGCTATGGGAAACTGTTTCAGTGCTGTCCATACAGAATTTATTTACCCCTTTGAGATTCCTGAAGTGGAACAAAGTTGTAAGCAAAAGGTTTTAAGAGTTTATTCCAGGTATAACTATTTTAGTTTTCCCAATTTAAAGTGTTTTGGTAAAGCTTCTGTGTGTGGAAAGTGCTAGACAGTGCCTGATAACATCACTTAAAGAATGAGTGCTCTGAATCTAATGGCTTGAAATTCCATGTTTTCTTATGATTGTTTATAGAAGTTTCAGGGAAGGGAAGTATTCTGACTGATATTCTGTTGGCTTCTGTCTTAGGAAATTGATGGTGCTTTTCCCTTGCATAGGGGATGTAAGACTTAGATGTCTTCAGCTTTTATAGTATGGCAAGGTAGTGTTGATACTGAGAGCTCCTAAAAAATTTGAAACTTAATTTTAGAAGAAAGCTACAGCTAATATCTCCTTAAGAGTGTTAAACCTCTTTATAAACTCCTGTTAATCTAATACAATACTGTATTATACGTCAACAATACTGTCTTTAAATTAGGGTTCTTATTGAAGTTACAGTTGCTAAAAATGTTCCCGTGACATTTGGTTTTCTTTATAGAAAGTGGAGCAGTTCCAAAAAAGAAGGATCCCTTAACACACACAAGTAATTCCCTTCCACGTTCAAAAACAGTTGCAAAAACTGGATCCACAGGCCTTTCAGGCCACCATAGAACACCTAGCTACAGTGGGATATCAAGTGCTTCTGTGTCTAGACCAGCAACAAACCCTACAACTTCAACTCACAAGGTATGGTGACAACAGGTATAGTGGTGTTTGCTGTGGAGATCGATGTAAAATCCAGAATGAAATCTGCATTTGCTGCTTTTATTGCAGTGTTGTGGTATGATTGCAACAGGGTTTTGAGGAAAACAAATTAGAAAAAAACACCCACCAAGAACAACAAAAAAAAAAAAACACAACAAAACTAAGCAACAAACAAACAAAACAACCCAACACTTAAACTAAATCATAAACATCAAACTTTTGGCTAAGCCTCTTAAACTGGACTGCAGAGTGAATTTTTGAAAGCAAGAGTCTTGGAGAGTCTCCAAAGTCTTGGAGTGCAAGGGGATTTTTGTTGTAACAAATTGTAATATTTGTAAATTTGTTATGAAATGGCATGGGATGCTGAGGAAAACTGAGCTGGCATAAAAACAAACTATACTGACAGTATGTAAAAGACTGGGGGGGAGCTCCTACTCCAGAACTGTAGATTTTATCCCTACATTTTCCTTCTCCTAAACATATATACTTGATTGTATTAAATCGTAGAATGGCTTGGATTGGAAGGAACCTTAAAGATTCTGGTTCCATATTGCAACCAGAATGAAAAGCAAATTATTTCTAAATTGTGATTGGAATACAAAAATAAGTTCTGTACTATTAAGGCAGAAAAATGCTGTGTTTCTTTTGCAATATATCCTGCTTTTCCCTCCTTATTTTCTCACTTTGTCATGCTACTCCCACATAATAGAGTAGAACATATTATGACATATATGTTTAAGCATGACAGCACTACTGTTTGTAGATATTTAGTACCTGTAACAGTGTAAAATGTATCAAGGCATTTTATATTCTTCTTCCTCTCTAGGCTGCTCCCAAAAATAGCAGAACAAATAAGCCTTCTACTCCTACCCCTGCTGCTCGAAAGAAGAAAGACATGAAAATATTTAGAAATGTGGACAGTAATCTTGCTAATCTTATCCTGAATGAAATTGTTGATAGGTAAGTTTGAAGAAAAGTAGGCTTTTTGCTGCAGAAAGCCAGTTTTTCATTCAAAAAATCTTTGTGCTCTCAGAATGAGAACTAGTAATACATGTTTGTTGTTTCCTTGTTACCTTAGCAAAACAAGGAATACTCAATTAAAAAAAATGCCTATTTCTTGAAATGTGTAGCAGTATAAATTGTAGATTTCCTTAAAGTAGTTCTTCATGGTTGAATACATTTATTAGTCAGCTGCAGCTGAAAAAGAATCTCTCATTGTTAGACTAATTAGTATTCTATTTCTTTGTTAGTGGGCCAGCTGTCAAATTTGATGATATTGCAGGGCAGGAACTGGCTAAACAAGCTTTGCAAGAAATTGTTATCCTTCCTTCTCTTAGACCTGAGGTAAGCAGTTTGGTGTTATCACTGTGGCAGAGTCAAAGAAATGAATTGTGCTTCACACTTGAAGTGGGGATTCTGATACCCTGTCAGTGTTGAGTAAGATAGTTATCCGTAGCTATTTGATGACAGCCTTCCTGGGAGAAGTGTCTGCATGTTCATATGTGTTAGAATATTGTGATGAATTTTCACCTTCTGGTTAGTCAACATAGGTAGGATAAAGGGTTTGAGGTGGGAGCCTGAAAATTAGTGAAACTGACTGTTGCAAATAGTTATAACTATGTGTGGAGATGTAGAGGACAAAGCCCAGAACTGAAAGAGTTAAACACAAACAAAATGCTTTTTGTAATGAAATAGAAGAAATGCATGTTGGTTGGCCATCCTACAGAAACTGGCAGCCATTTCTAATGATGGATTTTATGGAAAAGAATGTCTATTGACAGTGGTCTTCAGACATGGTGCACATACGAGTGACTCTGTAACCATCCATTTTGTTTGTTTATTGGAATTATTAGAAGGTAGAATTAAGGAGTAAGTCAGAACTAGAACTCTGAAACTTTTGAACCTGCTAAAATGTGACAACTACAACAGGTGTATGCTGTGGGAAAGTGTAGATTTGCTTGCTGTCATAATAACTGAAGTAATTTTGTAGTGTAGGAAAAAATCCAATGCTGAGTGAGATGGAGGAGATTATCAATGGTGTGTTGAGAGGGTAGGTGGAGATAGGTAATATTTTAAATAGTTTTCAGGTCTCTAGGTTTTCCTTTAAAAAAAAAAAATTATTTTATATGTAGTTAATGGGAACACTGCTTTAACTCTCTTACAGTGCATGTGCTTGTGCACATACCCACGTTTTTAAATGGAAATTAATGCTTTAAACTTGATAAGCTGCTCTGTCTCAAAGAACGTTTCTTATGTTCATTTCATGGTATGTCTATACATGGAATGATTGTGGTGAAGTTTGACTGTTGTGTGAGCAAGTAGTGAGGTGCATTAGGGCAAGGTAGTAATGAAATGTAACTTCTCTAAAAATCTGTACGGTTGTAGCACTGTTACTATTGCTCCCAGTCCTATCCAGTGAGCCATTCCTAAATTTTTAACCATTTTCTTGCAGAGGTAAATCATCATCACATCTTTTTTCCTGTCTTTCCCCTTCACCCTGCCAAGATTGAATGGCTTGCTTTTCCTTTGTCATCACAGTTAGTTAAAAGCAGTGTGTTACTCTAGGAGCTAAATGGTGGCTGTGAATGCCAGCAAGACAATGAAACATCTTTTGGTGTTTAATAAAATTAAGGGGGGGGGAGTGTAGCAAGCAATTCTCATTCAGAGTTTAAAGAAATTACTGTCTTGAGTCCATGTAATGATCTAACCAAGTGTATATTTACTGTTTGTAACACTTAACTTCTTTTTGAAGTAAACTTATGATTATGTATTTTTCAAGTTATTTACAGGACTTAGAGCTCCTGCACGTGGATTGTTGCTCTTTGGCCCACCAGGAAATGGGAAGACAATGCTGGTGAGGAAAAATTCTGCATACGTGAGTTGGTGGGCTTCAAATGTAGCCATTGGGGTGGCTGGCATTCAGGTTTTCTGAACTTCCTTGGTTCTGTGTGGCCTTCTATGTTGCATTATTTTGTACTATTCTTAAAGCAGTATCTTTTGTGTAAGTTAATTAAATTCTGCTTTACTGGGAAGTTAATGGGTGTAATGTCACTGTTATGCTATCAGTGCAGTTGGAACTCGAACCAGAACTTCTCCAACTGTATGTGCAGTAGAAATGCAGTGTGTGTACATGCATTAAATTTCCTGGACTTCTTTGGTATATTTTACTTTCTGAAAGATTTAAAACTCACTGCAACACTGGGGAGTTTTGTTGACATTGAAGGGCTTGGATTAAGATCACTGTGGCTTACACCAGGGTGTTCCTGACTGGAGAGGAATGTTGGTGAGGTTGAAATGGTTGTGCTCAGTGGGTAGTAGAATAATATCCCTTAACTGGGTACTTCCAGATCTAGTAGCAAATGGGTTTTAATAATAAACATGAGTTTTGTAGTAACAAACAATACAATGTCCCTGGATAAGTCCTTGCAGTATTGCCTTAATATGGAGATGCAAAATGATGCATTTTGTGGGGAAGGCCGAACTGTTCGCAACTGAATTCTCTTCAGTATCACAAGTAATATCTTAAACTAGCAAATCCAAGTTTTGTTTTCTGAGAGAGGAAAAGTAACATGGTTAATGGTTTGTATGCAGCAGCAATTAAAACACTCTGTTCTCTATCAAAATATACAAGTAATGCAGACAGTTTTTTGCACTGGAGAGGAAGCACAGTAGCAAGTTTTTTGCCTTCCATGCTATGTAAGAAACAACAATAGCTTGAGAGCTGACTGGCACCTTCTTGTTTTATGATGTGCTGGGTTCAGGGAGCTGGAGAGATGGCTGTGCATCAGCCAGGGAACATTGTGACAGTGCAGCTGAGCTTGGCACATCCTCCCTAATCACGTGGCGTGCTGCAGATGCACGCTGCCTTTGCTGATTATGAAGCTGGATCTGCTCTGAAGCCCTTAGTGGAAATACTGGGCACTTTTCTTGGGCTCTTCTGTTCTACTTATTTGAACATAATTGCTAATCAATTTAAAAGAAACAAACAGAATAAAGCAATACCACTCTCACCCCACTCGCACACAAAAAGCTTGTAAAACCAAGTAATAGTAACTTCTTGAATATGGTTATACTGTTAATGAAGAAGGTACTCTGAGTATGGTAAAAATGTAATTTTAATACGACTTGACTCATGCTACTCTAAATTGCTTCTCTAAATGAGTTAAGTAAGCACTGACAACAATTTTATGATAAGCTAAAAGAAGCAGGAGACTGCTGCTCTTTGGTGAGCAAATTGTAGATGGCTGTGGAGATATTGTGATTAGAGAAGTATAAGGAAGTCTGGAAACTTCTGCAGTGGTTCTGTTGCTTCTCTGTTCTGATTTGTGTGTAAGTTGTCTTTAGCACTTGCATGGTATTCCCTCTGAAGGAGTAAGGATTTTCAAATCACTATGGAGAACATCAATAATTGCTGCAGAAGTAAAGAGGCATCTTCAGTGTGACATTTTAAAAAACTATTTTTTTCTGCCCTAGGCCAAAGCAGTTGCTGCAGAATCAAATGCTACTTTCTTCAATATCAGTGCTGCAAGCCTAACTTCAAAATACGTAAGTATTAGTTGTAAGCTGCATTAATGAGAAAACACATGCCTGTGACTGGGGCTTATAAAGACCAGAACTTCTAATAACTCTTTAGTGAACTGGTTCCCTATAGTGAATATAAAGTCTTCAGAGACTTAACTTGACAAGTTAAGAGGGAAAAAAAAAAATTGTGCCTGTGATAAGACAATTTCACTGGATTTTTCCTGGTTAGAATGGCACTGACTGTGACAGAGATGAGTGGTATTTGTTTTCTCCTCCTTTAGAAAAAGTAAAGGAAGCTTTTATAACTTAAACACCAAAATCTCTGATGTCTTAATTGTGATCATAAGTTCGAACCTTTCTTTTAAAACAGAAAGAACATGACTGTATGTAATACTGAACTAGTAATAATAATAGAGTACATACCAGTGGATTGTGTGACTTCATCAGCATTTTTTCCTGTAAGCCTTTATCTTAGGGGTCTTGTAATAAATGCTTTCTAAATTCCTTCCAAAAACAGTTTGTTATTGTTTCAGGTGGGTGAAGGTGAGAAATTGGTGCGTGCTCTATTTGCAGTAGCCAGAGAACTGCAGCCTTCTATAATTTTTATTGGTAAGACCTTAAATGTTATTGACTTTTTTTACTCTTTTTAAACGTATTGACTTTCTAAATTTCAATTACCAGTCAGAATACTTTGGGTAATTCTATAGTGTAGAGCATATGTCTTGATTATGACCTGCTGGCTAACCAGTAATTCCAAACACATGTTAATTGTTGTTACTGAGGTGCTAGTAGTGGGAATTGGTGCCATCAAAACCATAACAGGCTCTCTCAGTCTTCACAGAGAGAGTCCTTTTTGGTGTTTAACTTCAAGCATGAAAACAGGTTTTGCTTGTCCTGAAGTACAGTTTATTATCCAGCAGGATTTATTTTCTCATTTGTGTGTGGTATGAAATGTTTAAATAGCAACACACAGCATGGTAAACCTAGTTAGAAAAATAAACAAGCTTTTGAGCTTACATGTTAAAGATAAAAGATCTGTCTGTCTCTTAAGGAGGAAAAAATACTTGATCTTCCTTGCTGGAGTCCTATGTTAGTAAAAGAATTTAAGCAAACATGAAGACTTTAATGTATGTTAAACTAAGGCATATTTCCTTTTTTTATTTCTTTTTTAGATGAAGTTGATAGCCTTTTGTGTGAAAGACGAGAAGGTGAACATGATGCTAGCAGGCGTCTAAAAACAGAATTCTTAATAGAATTTGATGGTGTAAGTATCTAGTCTAAGTATTGCATGATTTTAGGTGAGTTGGCTAATGTCATGGTGCCAGTACAAGCTGCAGATGAAACACGAATAGGATTTGGCTGCTAGGACTTACCTTGACAGACAGTGTGTGTTTTGTTTCTTTTTTTCTTGCTCTTAATTCTATTTTATTTTTTACCTACACACTCTTGTCCTTTAGGAAATTGAGTCTGGCACGAATAAAGGAGCTGTGAGAACAAAAAATATTGTTACCAGGAAAGAGTGATATTTCAGGGTCAGGCAGCATTCAATCTTTGTTTGCAACTGGCATGTTTTGGCGAAATGCGTTTCTGGCAAAGCAAGAGGATTCAGTGGGTTTTAAGTAGAGTTGTTGCATTGGTTGTTTTTTTTGTTGTTGGTTTTCTTGCTTTTCTTTAAGAATTCTGTCTCACCAAAGTGTGTACTTTGTTAAAGTGTAAGGTGAGATTTGAGGGATGATAATTTCAAAGAGTCTATTCTGGATCATTGGTATACACAGCTCTGACAAATCAGAAATACTCAAATATAGAAATACAAATCAGAAATAATTTTTGTGTTAGCGTGCTTTTTATTGTTTGGTTTTTGTTTGTATCATAACCTAGAGATGACAAGATGCAGTTAAATATATTTAGCCTCATGTGTGTAATATCCAGGAAAACAAAATGGATATTTCATTGTTGTCGGGGATCCCACAAATGAACGTCAGAATGCTTTTGTCACACAGCACTGATATTTGTATGGAAAAATCTTACTTCATTTTCTCATAATGCAGTGGAATACTGTTGCAGCTGTGTAGCAATGATAATGAAGTACAGGAGGAGAAGATAATTGTATAGAGAGACATAACAAGATTAGGAAAAACTTGTCCAGAGTGGGATGAATCAGGACAAATAGTACAATGTGGCAATAAGATACAGAAATTACTGTCCAGGTGTATTCAAACAGGGTTTTCTTTTAAAATAAGGAGGAGAAAATCAAATGTCATTTTCAAGTTAGGGAGACTTGAGATCAAGGTGGAGCTTTATTACACAATACTTTGGTGGATTGTTTTGGGCTCACTTAGCAATGAACTTGAGCACTTTGTCTTGTGCTGACTTTTTTTCCCTTGAATTTAAACATTCTTTAGATAAATATGAAAGCTAACTGCATTAAAAAAAAGGCAGCAAAATCCTGTTGGTGCACTGAATCGGTGGGAAGTTTTTATAACTGAAATGTGTATACTGAAAACTGTCTTGCATGTCTACGTTATATAGGTGCAGTCTTCTGGAGAGGACAGAATACTTGTGATGGGAGCAACAAACAGGCCACAGGAGCTTGATGATGCTGTTCTCAGGTATCAGAATGTCTCTTTTATGAGTGTGATCATGGGATGCTTGTTATGAACAGCTGGTTTTGCTGCTTAGTTTCTTGATTGTAAATTTTTACTAATTAGGCAAAGCTGTTTGACAAGAATAAATTTAGCTTCTCAGAGATGCCTCTTCTCTTTTGGGATACATCTGCACAAGCATGACAGAGTTGTCTAAAGCAGCAGTGCCTCTTAAAATCAAGTCAGTATTTTGTAACTCTTTTGCATCTCTCACCCTGCTCTTTTTATTTGGAGCTTGAAGAAGAAATTTGATGAATGAAATCTAGTACTTACTCTGTGAATATTTGACTTCTGATGTTTCCTGCAGTTGAAGAGTTTGCTGTAGATTTGCCATAGGCCCTTTTTTAGCTAAAAGCTTTCATGTTTGCTTGTCTATTCACTCTTGACTGAGGAAAATAAGTGTGTCAGCACTGTCTGAACAAATAAATTGCATTTTTAAAAATTCCAAAGACCTTTTGTGTGCACTGAAGAGATGCATTGTTGTTAGTGAGAGTCAGTGATGTTTTTGCTTCTTGAGTGTTTCCTCTCTGGGAGGTGTTTCATGACCTCAGCAGGAGTAAGGTGACACCAGCAGCTCATGCATGTTGATTTTGTTGTTGTTCTTTTAAACCTAGAGTTCTGCTTCCTAGAATTAGATGATGGAAGTGAAATCTTGATATCTATCAAGCTGTTAGATCCATATGCAATAGAAAACCAGAAAAGCGTATGTGTATTTATACGTGTGTTTTTTTTCTAGACGGTTCACCAAACGGGTATATGTATCTTTACCAAATGAGGAAGTAAGTACTGGTTTCCATGATTTTCTTTGAGATATATATTTTCTTTGAATAAAAAGCAGAAGCCTCAAAAAATTAACTTGCCCTGGATGATTGCAGTTTGGTGATTTAATTTCTGGCCCAGCCTGGCCCCATATACTGTGCTTTAATTCTGGCAACTACCTTAAGCTGTTGCATTTTTATGCTTGCTACCAGCAAATTTAGTAGTAGTTACTCAGTATTAGTGAGATGTTGCTTACATACTGGCAGGCATGGACAAGTCTGATTTAGGGCTTGCAGGAGCAGGTTTGGTTGGCAGAAGAGAATATTTATTGCAGAAGATAAAGGTAGCTTTCTTAATGTGTTATTTTCAGTTGAGCAGCAGATTAGGACTTTTGATGAGGATTCTAACATGGTACTGTGTGCATCTTTAGAGCCAGTGTGATCCTTGTTCTTACTATTAGCAAATCCCTCTCTCTTTCTCTGAAGAGATTATTTTGTACACTCTAATCACAAAAGCACTACAGGCAAATTTAAGTCAGTGAAGCACAAAAGCTAGCCCAATGAACACATAGTTTTGTTATTGTAATAAAATTTAAGTGTACCATGAAAAAAGCCAGTTTTACATATGATAAATGTATCATCTTTTCAGACGAGATTGGTTTTGCTAAAGAATCTTCTAAGCAAACAAGGAAGTCCGTTGACCCAAAAAGAGTTGGCACAGCTAGCAAGGTAAGTATTTTGTAACTATACTGAGTAAATATACTCATCTACTAAACTCATTCATGCTGTTTTGTTCCCTCTTAATTTGTCTGACGCTGATCTTCAGAAAGTGACAGTACTAACTGAGAATGTGATGTGTGCATTCTGGGAAGATGCTCTTCAGTGAGAGTATAGGAAATTGTTTTCCTTTTATGATTCTGTATCCATTTTTATATATATATATATAAAATATATATATAATATATACTTATATATATTTATATATATAAGTATATATATATACTTAATATATTTATAATATATATAATATTAATTTATATTATTTATATAATAATATATAATAATAAATAAATATATATATTTAATTAATATATATATTATATTAATATATATTATATATACTTATAAGTATATATACTTATATATATAATATATAAAAAATATATAATATATATATTTTCACCCCTACACTACATAACTGGGTTTTTGTTGTTGAAACATGCTCATCAATACTTTTATTTCTGAGAAGTGATGGAGATGCTTCTCTCCACTGATCTCCCCTCCCCCCCATCAGTCTAACTCTCATCCATAATGTAAAAAATCAGTACCTGTTTTGCATTTGTTATGCATTTCGAATCACAAGCAAGTTTTCTTTCGTTCTGTTGTTGGGATTATTGAAAATATTACCAACATAACAGAACAAGTACTGAGTAATTTTGTGCTTTTCAAATTTCATGTTTGTTTGAAAAAATCAATTTCCTGAAAATTGTTTCCTTCAGACGCATCCTAATGTCTTCATATCCTTTTTAGTTTGTGACACCAAAACTGCACCTCATTCTTAAAGTAATGACTGTTTCACTTATACTCAACATTTCTTTTGTCTGGTTAGCTGTCCTGTGCAAACACTCTCAGAATACAGTTGGTCCTTTTGGCTGTGAGGGTATACTGTTGACTCATACTGAGTTTACTAACAAACAACCTGAGAATTTCTGCAGGTCTGTCCTTCAGTCCCTTGGCCTTCAAGGTATTCAGGATTGTGCTGTCCCAGGTGCTGAATCCAGGATTTGCTCTTTTAAGTTTCATGTATCCCTTAAATTAAAATGGCTCTAAGGTCTCTCTGCTCTGAAAGGAATCAGTGGCTCTTCCTATTTTAGTATTGTCTGCACTCAACTCCAGTGTCCAGAAATTGAGTAGTCCAGGTTATTGATTTAAAAAGTAAGCAGGCAAAAAAACCCCAAACTGTTAAGAAGTATAAGCCATAAAACTAAACTCAAGGAACACCACTAGTGACTGGCTAGCCTGATGGTACCTTGTTTACCACAACCCTTTGAGCACATCCTGTTGGCCTATTACTCATTCCTTGTATTGTGTACTTGTATGGTATACAGCTAGACATTTTGTCCAGAAGGATACTGTGAGACTCAGTATCAAAAACTATTACTTCTGATAAAAAAAAATCCTGTTTGCGGCTTTCCCTCCATTCATAAAGGTGGACAAAACTGTCATAAAAGGATATTAAGTTAGTGAGATATGACTTTCTGTCCATGAACCTGTGTTGGTTTTGGCTGCTTGTTATAGCCAGCTTCAGCTCTACAGTTGGGTGAGTTTTTCATATTGAAATCATTTTTAGGTAACTTCTTACTTATGTTAGCAGTATCTGCAGCTTCCCAGTTCAGTGGGGAGGTTTATTCTTCAAAATATTAAACTGTTACCTTGCATGAAAAGAAAAGACTGCAAATTCCGAGTTACTTGCCAATTACTTCTAGAGTATAGTCTCAAATATGGGAGAAAGGCACTCAACCAGAAATAACTCTGCACTGTAACTTGCTAAACGAAGACGTATTGCTTTAAAGACTTGGAGTTACTCTACTGAATTAGTAGATCGATTTACTCCTTGGTATCCACTGGTCAGTTGTTCCTGAGGCTTTTCATAAGGAGCATACTTTGGAACTGTCACTTTCAAAACCAAATACTGTTATTGGGCTTTTAGAAATATTTGCTTTTGCCCTTTGGCACCAATATTAACTAAAAATGCATATTGTTTTACTCAGAAGATTGATTATCAAATCATAGATTTTATGTGGTATTGGATTCTCATTTTACTGGGTCATGAGACAGTTGAATTAAATGATGACAAACTAGCAGTAAGATGTTCTCGTAATAGAAGCTTGACTTCTGTTTTCATCAACAAGTATAAGTGGTTGCTGTCATCTTGCTTTTCCTTGTATTTTAGGCAGAATTTGAATATCTGTGCCTAAAGTTTCTGGAAGAGATTGCATATAATCAGTTACACTGAATGTGCTACTAGTTTATTAAATTTGGAAGACAACATTAAAATAGTATTTCTTCTGATCAAATAATGTCTTAACCATGTGTAATTAAACAAGATGTTTTGAAGCACATTTTATCCTCTTCCCTTCCTCTCCTCTTCCCCCCTCTTTTTTTTTTTTTTTTTTTTAAAGAATGACAGATGGATACTCTGGAAGTGATTTAACTGCATTAGCAAAGGATGCAGCATTGGGTCCCATCCGAGGTAAGCTTGCACAGCTTTTATGTTTAGGCTTCTAAAAAACTGCACTACCCTTGAAGAAGTTGAAGATGTTTATCTAGAGTGGTTAAATTAGTGCATGCGTTTATATATACAAATTTTATTTTGGCAGATCGCTTCACATGCGAGTCCATGTTGAGAAGAGATCACAAATTATTTCTTCCACCTGATCCTGGCTTCCAAATAAAACATGGAAAAAAAAAAAAAATTGTCAGCCTTGCTGATCTCACCTACATTCTTTGTACAGAGATTTTCAGAGCAAAAAGTTTGCTGTACTGTGTTGCTACCATAATAGTACTTTGAGAAGATAACTGTAAAATGAGAAGGGCTACTGAATTGATGAGTTTCCACTAGAACTGTATGCAGTGAGATGCAGTGTTAGGTGTCTACCTGATTTATTTCTGTATTCTTGGCTGATAGTACTTTTCTTTGCTGAGAACTGTGCGTGTTCTGCTGGTACAGAAGGTTGTAGGTCCTAAGAATAAAATGGTGGAAGGCAGCTGTTATACTTCGATGCTTCCCTTTTTGAGGAAGGATGTAGTTATGCTAACGTCTTGTACTGTATCTGTAATGAGTCACTTTGGGAGCAGCATGGATGTTCAATGGGAAGAAAGGGAAGGAGGAGAAAAACACCACCATGTACTTTTCCTTAAGGAAGATTATGTTATGGCAGATAGGCATGCATCTTGTTTGTGGTGTTCCAATTAAAAGTACTTGTTAGTATGTTTTAATTGTCAGAAGAAGTAGGCTTTTGTACAGAACTCAGTGATCTTTCTTTATTTTCACAGAATTAAAACCAGAGCAAGTGAAGAACATGTCTGCCAGTGAGGTATGCTGTTCCAGCAATTGTTTTCCCTTTTCAATGGAATACATGCTCAGCAGAAACTTTTTATGCCTCTTTACTTATGCCTAGTATCATACAAAACACAAGTGTTTTTTTTCTTGGCTATTACATCTTTGTGATTACTTCCTTACTTAAGAAGGCTCTTTAAGGCTGTGATTGGGAAGAAACATCTACCCTGAGATATCGAAGGTTGTTTGTGTGGCTTGGTTATCAAGTTTGAGTGCCTCTTTTTCTCCTAGTTGATCTCCAATATTGTTATTTTCAGCAGATTATCCTGTCTTTTCCCTTATATTGAGCTGGAACTTCATGATACCTCTCAGATGACATCAGAGACCTGGCTTTTGTTATTTTTTTCAGTGTTGCTCTCTCCAAAACTTCCCAGAAGTATTGTGCAAAATGCTTTTTTTTTTTTTGTCTTTACATAAAACAAGTCATTTTAAGAAGAACCTCTGAGCAATTTTAAATCTCTAAACCTAAATGAAAAGGAAGAAATTGGCTCTTTAAAAAGTCTTCTGCTCAAAAGTACTTGGAAATCAGTGTTATGTAGGGAAAACTATGAAACGCCCATTGCTTGCTATTTCGGCCTTAGATATCAGAGCTACAGTCAGCTGAAAATGTTTTTTTTCTGGGAACTAGAAAACATCAGTGTGACTTTACTGTAAGTGCAAGTTTACTTCCAATAGCCTATAAACTCTAGTCCCAGTGAAACCTGGAGGATCAGCACCATTTGTAGTGTTAATACGTATTTGATGATGTGACTGCTCTTACACACTCTTTGCCTACCTACCACTGTGTCTGGACATATCTCTAATGAGGAAAGGCCCACTTATAATCATGTTCTCAACAAACTGGAAGGCATGTGTTTGAATCAGAGAAGGGAGATAAGATTTCCTTGGCTGACAGCCTGCTGTCATCTTGAATACATTAGTTGTTCATCTTTTTTTTTGGGCATGGAGGACCTTTGGTGCCTTATTCTCCTGGGGCACAAAGGTACACTTTGAATGTTTTAAAAATCTCACATTGTACACTTTAATCAGTCTTGTGTCCTGATGTGCGCTGACTTGCACCACCTAGTGGAATAGGAAACAGTAACACACACTCATAGGCTATCAAGTAACAAAGCTAACATAATTATCAAACACATTATAATGAAGAAAATACTGATAATCTTAAATGACACGAGACTATTGTATCATTATATGAGGCATGTTAGAATTAAATACCAAAGTACTTTTTGAATAAACTGAAGCGTTTTAACTGCTTGTGATCCTAATGTCTTTTGCTTTTCTTTTAGATGAGAAATATTAAATTATCAGATTTCACTGAGTCTTTGAAGAAGATAAAGCGTAGTTTGAGCCCTCAGACACTGGAAGCATACATTCGTTGGAACAAGGACTTTGGAGATACCACGGTGTGAAACACTACTTTAAGTGGAACGGAATGCTGCCTAAGGAGCAGGAGTACAGACTACTGGAAAGCAGCCAAAGTTTACAGGACTTGGCAGATCTTTGAGTATCTGCGTTAAAACTTGAGAATATGAAAAAAATTATACAATGTGAAATAAATTCATCAAAGCCTCCTTGCCGTTTAGTGAGGATTTACACACTGTAAGTAAGAGCACAATAGGACTTTGGATAAGATTCCTACCAATCTGATCGTAGTTTGAACAATATGCATATTTTGTTTCAGTTGGAAGGCTCTGATGATATTGATCATTGGAAGACCTTTTCCCTATGTTGTGTGTTATTTTCGTTTTTAATTCTGCCATGACATTAATGTCTGGCTTCCTGATAACTACTAATAGTTGGATTTTTTTGTAACCTTTGGTTCTGCTTTTGTCTTTTTTTTTTATTTTACCTTTAATGTGCCAAATAAAACAAATTCCCTGTGTAAAGATGAAGAACAGCATTGGGGGATTACAACTATTAAAATGTAAAATGCAGCTGGTCTGTTATTATTTGTCTTTGTTTAGTTGTATGTGAGTGCATTGTTCATGGAACAGTTCTAGAAAAGACCTTTGATAGCAGAACAGCAAAAAAAGAAAAACTACAAAACCAGTTCAAACTGTTTTTGTTTTTTTAAGTAAAATACTAAATAAAAAGTAGACTAAGACGTTCACTTACTGGCAGTATTTTCTCTTAATGCAATTTGTAATGCTTCCATTGGTAGAATGTTAGCTTATGCTTATGGTGTGCAACTTGAAGGCCAGCTGTTTGAGAGAGTAAGTGATGCTAATTGTCAAGTTTCAGAAATGTGTTTCTACTTTGTATTTTGGTCTGGCTTCAGCCATTGAAAGTGAAATTTCCATTGTGTAATTTTTTTAATCTACACATTTAACCTTTAAACATAAGGCTACATGTTTAATACGTTGCGAACATTAATGTTTTTATAGCTTTCATATGTTTTGGTTTATATATTAAAGTATGAAACACTCAACTGATCTGCTTTTTTTGAAAGAAACTGCATCTTTGTACAAATACTTGGATTTTTATTATATAAATGACAAGCTATTAAAAAAATGTGAGCCTTTAAATACTGTAATAAAACATCTCTGCCTTTACTTCTAAAGGCCTGACATCTTGTTTACAAATTCTGCATCAATCAAACACTGAGATGTTTGTAAGGCAGAATGCTAGTTCCTTGTTAGAACAGTTTTAAAATTAAAGACATCTCTCCCAACTTAGTGATATTGCAAAGTTGTTTATTGTTTGCAGTTGTTTTAACTAAATTCATTTATCTGTTTCATTTCCTTTTGGTCTGAATGGCACATTTTGTCCTTTTCACTTATTTTATTGGAAGGAGTAAGTCTTAAATATTTCTGGGGCTACTTGTTTGAAAATTGACTGTATTTTTATATGTGTGAAAAAATATAACTGATGCAGTGCAAATATAGCAATACCAAGAGATGGCTTGGTGTTTGCTACATGGTATTTAGTACTAGACAGCTGAAGCTGTGTAAAGCTTTTGAGATGCATACATGCAGGATACTTGGGATTTGTATGTGTTTTGTTTTTTTTTAACCAGGGATGCTTTTAACTTTTTAAATTGCTTTTAATTTTAATATAAGAAAAGATTGTGTTGCACTAGTATGCCTTTTGAAACCACTTCTAACCAAACCATTTCTAGCCTTCTAAGGGAATGACTCTATCAAATTTGTGTCTGATATAAATGAAGTGTCATTTCTGTTACCCTGAATAACCTTCCCAGAGAAGAAATGCTGGAAGATTTTAGTTTGTCAGATCTCACGTCTTGCTTTGCCTCAATTCTGCCTTCTTTTGAGTATCCTTGTCTGTGATTTCTGGCTAGTGTAACTTGTAATTGTCACAGACTTGATAGTGTTAAACACAGGTATTACTGTTTTATCACCGATAGTGTTAAACACAGGTATTACTGTTTTATCACCACGTGCCAAATAGCTAAACAGGTAACAAATGCCTCTGATCTTCCTATTGATCAAGCTTGCAATTTTTTCCTTGAGTTCCTTTGCAAATGGGAACTCTGAGATGATACTTCTGTGGTTGTAAGGGTTCCTAAGTATTTGTTATCAAACTCAATTTTCCTCCCTTAAATTTTGAGGAATATAGTGGTATTAATTTCAGATGTGTGTTGGGAGGTGATAGGTACCTCACATGTGAAGGTAGAACATTGCATCTGCTAAAACACCATGAGCAAGCAGCACAAAGGGTCAGAAGCCTGAGCTGCTACCTCAGAAAGGAAAAGAACAACTGGTTCAGGACTGGAGAGTGTGTGACACAGTAATGGTTTTTGGTATCTATCCTGCCTTAATTGTTTTCTATGTAATGGCTGAATTGAAGCTCTGTGAATGACTTCTAGAACACAGTAAAAAGAGCTTGATTCTGTTCATCTGTTTGCCCCAACAGCTGCTGTATTTTTTTAGTCCATAACCAAGTGCCATTTGGTTCATAAATTGCCTTTAAATTTCATTTACACATCTACAGTATTTCTTGAAGAGTGTCTTTTAATAATAATTCTGTTCCCTTCGGGATATTTAATTACCTATCCTGTTTTCATATCCTGTGTGTGTATGTTACATACACTGAGTAATTTCCAGCTCAGTGATTTTCATCTGTGTGCTAGATTAACTATGTATAAAAGCAAATCTAAGAACTAAGCAGGGAGAGGGGAACCCAGAGCTCTCCTATTTTGTACAGGACTTTGCAACTCTATATGTCATAAAATCAGATTGTGTTCTAATACAGTATCTTGAATTAGGATAAGCGGAACAACAGCTTGGATGCTTTTAACGTTTGTAAAGGTTACATTTGCATTGACTCTCTAAACTGACTTTTTTTTACCTCTCTGGATGAATCTGTCCACTGCTAATGAATGACTTGACCCACTTCTTAGAGATGATTAGGAAGCAGCCTGTCTAGCTTGCTGCACATGTTTTTTACTGGCTTAAAGTTAAACACTTACTGGAGGGAAGGGAACAAAAGTGTTATGAGACTGCTGCTTTTTAAAACTTTTTGTGCATCTTCGCCTATTAAGCAGGAAATACCTGTTCTTTCTACCTACTGGAGGAGCAGTGTCTTCTAAGGTAGTGGGTTGCTTGAAGTAGTACACTTATGCACTTGCAAGTCTTACCTGTTCTCTTTGTCAGAATTGTAGAGTTTGATGCATTAGGAACAAGCAATCCTCCCCAAAGCCTCTTATCAACTGTACTAAAGAAAGCCGGGCAGTAATAGTTTTGTTGAATATGGCCTTGCAACTTGCCTTATTTAGATACCAAACGTGATAGTAACACGTGATAACTGGAATGGAATCTGAAGTGGGAAGGAAGTCCTCACTGCACTAATTAGAAGCAGATGCTGATTTCCCTGTTGGATTCTTTTGAATGTGATTAAAATGACAGGTTTTTACGCATACAACTTCCTGTGATAATTAAATTTACTTTCCAGTATAGAATAAATTGGTAGCTCTTTTCCTGTTCTAAAAAAGCAACTTTTAGCTGGCACAGCTGTCATTTTGTGAAATTTAAGTACAGGGAAGCCAGATATGTTGGCAAATTTAACTGAAATGTCTGTTTCGCAACTGATATGGAAAGCAGCTTTCTGCTTAGGACTTCATTACCCAATTGGTGAAATTTGTGTGCTAGAATCTTCTGCTGCATGTCTACAAGACATGGATAATCACATAGTTGTGCTTAAGATAAGTTTAGCTATTCTAATGCTTTAGTGATGTTTCTGCATGTGGCAGCTGTGGGAGATGGCAAGCTGTACTGTAGGTTACAGATCTTCATTCTGTGATAGTCTTAAGCTCCTGTATTTTTAGTTCTTGAGGCTTCTATTTCTGACAACTGGTAGGAAGGTAACAAGCAGACAGTAGAATGTTTCCCTTAGTCATTGTGCTTGTTAGAGGCAGTTACCAATTTACCAAGTTACCAGGCTCTCTTGAGCTGCTGGTTAGTGTTGAAGGATGTTGTTTTACTCACCTACTTGAGTCTCCATGCTCATCCTAAGAGATGACCAGATGAACAATAGATAAAATATTTTAAAATAGTATTTTCTTTTAAATACTGTAACTGTAATTCAGCAGGACACAGAAGTAAACTAGTTTCCTGCAAAGACAGAATAATCTCAAGTACAGGGAAATGTGTAATATATTCTTCCTGCTTCTCTTGTAAATTGCAAACTGTCTGGGTGTAAACTGTTTACTTTGTCAATAACTACCTCCTGAGTTCAGCAATAATTGACAAGGTAGACATTCCTCCAGTGAATTAAATGTATTGGTTAAATGCTGTGGGTTCTGTCAGTACTCTCCAGTTTCGTCTTTTTGATTTGTAAGTTCTTGTCATGATGTCTGGAAACAGGTGATTGGTTGTAAGACTTTGTCTTCATAAGAAAACATTTCTAAAAGTTTTGTTTCAGAGACTGGCTTTGAAGAAGATTAACTTTCTTCATAGTTGGTTAATACAGGTTTATTCTTTCAGGATGCTGAAGGCCTAGTCTCGGTTCTGCAGGGTTGTTCTGTTTTTCACATTAGAAGTGAGAAGTACTTGATCTAATGCTTGCATAACTATCGAAGGGGCTGAGAATATAGAAACTGTTTTTGTCACAATTCAAATTTTTATTCATGTCTTCATGAAGGGCGAGTCAATGGCTTCAGAAATCTGGATTTAAGTGACAAAACTGAAAGATGGAGGCGAATCGCTATGCCCTACCATGTTAAATACAGTGAATAACTCCTGTTTGGGATGGGGTTTATTCTTGTCTTTTGTTGTGATGAGGGACTTTTGCTTCAGTGTTCCCTAAAGAACGTTTTCTGAAATGTTGACGACCACTTTATTAATAAGCAATGTAAGACAGCATGATGAGCAGTCACATAGCATTAGCTTCACAATAAAATGTTGCGTTTATCCTTTTCTTACTGTTCTTGTCTGTTTAGATAGATTGTCTGTTTTCAGATAAAATGTCCAAAGCTGTGAGCCTTCTCGTTAAACCTGAATCTGATTAAATTATTACTGCCTTAATAAATAAGTAAAATCAGGTGTTGTATGCTTACTGGATGATGGAACAACACGTATGTAAATATCTCAGTTTCTGAAGGACTTAAGTTCTTAATACTAATGTGAGCAAGGGCTGCTTCCTACATTAATTTACTGAAAATACGCTTATCCTAGTCTTGCTAAATCGCAGTGGAAAATAAGAGCTGTTACGCTAATTGTAGTTGTTGTGGTGAACAGTCCTGAAAACAGCAATTTGCACCAACTTACTTTGCTTCAAAATGCATAGAGGTTAGAAAAATCCAAACAGACACTGATTCTTTGAGAGAAGGTGCACAATTAAATTTAGTGAAGAGCCAAGAAGCTTAAAAGAATACCCTAGTACTTGCTATATTGGGATCTATAGAGATTGTGGATTTGGCAGGATATTCTGATCTAAGTGTGCCAGACTCATTAAAAGATGAATCTTCTCTCATTCTAGCCAAGATAGTGTGAGACAAGACTGTGTGCCTATTATCAGATACAGACATTGCAGATGGAAATCTGTTTATTTCTATATCTTAATGCCTTAGGGTTGCCAGAAAATGTAAGGGGAAAAATATATATATATTTTTTCACTGACACTATTTCAGGAAGTTTCCAAATAGTTTGTCAA